TGACGATCTGATAATAATAATAATAATAATAATTAAAATAAAGACGAAAATGTCTAGTAAATATCTCTACACAAAATATTGTACTCTCTGCATCCAACTCATGAAAACATATTTATAATATATTGAAAAATTACTATAAATAAACATATCGATTGAAACTTTTAATGGGATCGAGATACACGCACATGCATGTGCTGTTCGGATTTAAAAAAAGAAAGAAATAAATTTAACACCCAATCCCTGATTTTCCATAATATCCGCTATCAATCCCAACAATGATAAGAGCTTGGACAACGTGACTTACGACTCAATTATTAAAAAAATATATAAATATAAATGAATAAAGTAATACTCATTGCGCTTTGTTTTATATCACCAAATATTCTACGTACTCGATTTCTTTCCATTAATCAAACAATCCATCATGAGAGTTTGAAAAGAAAAACGCTAAAGCCAGCCATGTTTGTAAACCTGCACATGTGGAGCTGTCTATATAAAGCGAAGGCAAGGCAAGTGTTCTCTTCAACCAAAAAACCCTCAGCTCAGAGCACATATACAAAAAAAAAAAAAAGAGAAATGGCGACGTCGGGAACGTACGTGACGGAGGTGCCGCTGAAGGGATCGGCGGAGAAGCATTACCTCCGGTGGAGGAACGAGAACCATCTCTTCCCGGACGCCGTCGGCCACCATATTCAGGGCGTCACCGTCCATGACGGTGAATGGGACTCCCACGGCGCCATCAAAATCTGGAACTACACCTGCGGTCTCCCTCTCTCTCTCTCTCTATATATATATATGTATATATGCAATACACATATATATACGCAGATGATTAAAAGGGTATGATGGATGCTATAAAACAGATGGGAAGGAAGAGGTGTTCAAGGAGAGGAGAGAGATAGACGACGAGAAGAACGCGGTGAAGTTCGTGGGGCTGGAAGGGCACGTGATGGAGGAGCTGAAAGTGTACGATGTGATATTCGAGTTCACGCAGACGTCGGAGGAAGTGTGCGTCTGTAAAATCACTATGATCTGGGAGAAGCGCACCGACGACTCCCCCGAGCCCATCAACTACATGAAGTTCGTCAAGAGCCTCGCCGCCGACATGGACGACCACGTCCTCAAGCAATCCTAATCCATCCACAGTCTCACGTCATTGATCAAGAATCGCGTTTCCCTTCGATCGTTGTTTGTATTTCGTTATGTCTGCTTGAGCATGATCTGGTCTTGCTTTTCCTACATATGTATGATGCGACTGTGCGTGACATGTTTGAATAAGAAACCCTGTGGATGTTTGTTGTTGTTATATGTTAGTTAATTAAATAATGCAAACTCTTTTATATGGGATTTCGCAATGATGGTCGAGATAAAGCCTTTCCATTTTAGTCTTCAAGACAATCACTACCTAATCTTTAAATTTAACCAACCAAAATTACTTCATTTTTTTATGATTCGACATTTTTTCGAACATTTAGTCTAACTAAATCTCTCAAAATAATGGAGAATTCTAGATAAATATGTCTCCCCAGATAGAGATTCGAACTTGGGTTTTACCCCATTTTTTTTTGTGTGTGAGTTTTACCCATCTTTTACTGGTTGAGTCAGTTAATGTTGGATGAAAATTACTTTAGTTTTATACGAGTATGTTGAATCTATCCATTTTGTCCCAAATCGTACGGAGAATGTAAATAAATGGTAAATGGGTTGGATTCATCAAAGGAACTTTGCCGGATACATGGACAAAAAAAAACGTCCTCGACCGACCGCACTTGGTTAATTTCATATCCATATATTTACACATTTGTATTACCTCGCCATGCATTTATATATGTTCTTGTGAAGTAAGTATAAGTTTTCTTTTTTAATAAAAAAATAACAATGCCGATCTCATAGTTGAAGCTCTTTTGTTATATGAACAAGAAGAAGATTAGATGCTGATGTGGCAATGCAATGCTTGCATTTGTTTATTATTATGCCCATATACCCTCGATGCTTACGTGCAATTAAATGCCCATAGACCCGTTCCCGAATGAATATAATAACCTATCTCCATTAACTGATTTATCATTTATGACTGCCCCACCCCGCATCTGACTATCATTTAATATAAATTTAATACTTTATCATCATCGATCCTTACTATGAGAGAGAGAAAGAGGATATCTAAGGAGCTTATATTGGGGGTTTTTTCAACAGTAAAAAACCCATATTTAGAAATTTAAGTATCAGGCTTATATGCTATAACTTGGGCCTATGGGCTTTAAAAACGTTATAATAAAAAAGTATTATATACAGAAAGGTATTTTATATTTGTACTCAAACGCAAAAATATTGAATTAATAATAATATGGCCCATAGGGCCGAATAATAATAAATCACAGAGGCCTTTTTGGGTTGCGACAATTAAATATTGGGTTAGGACAATTACGACACGACCGACCCAGCAATGTTAGTTTCCTCAACTGAGTCGGGGATTTTCTGGAGACGGGAATTTAGCGATTTGGGGTAGGGTGTGATACTGATACATTCCAAGGTTCTGCATTTTTTTAGACGTATAATATAAAATTTTATCTAATTAATATAAATATCTAAAATTAATTAACATGGTATTCTTGAACATTTTACAGAAACCTAATGATACCTTCCCCATAAACCCTAGATCTTTCGTCCAATTTATATATTCCCCTCCTTGATTTCGCCGCATTCCACACACAACTCTCTCCGAACCCGATTTGGGTTTCCGGCCGCAGATTCTCTCTCACCTGTTTTTTTTTTTTCCAATTTGTTCTCTGATCGGGAAAACCCTCTCGTTTCTGTTCGGAATTCGTTTCGCCGATCGTGGTGGGTTCGTCTCTCTCGTTTGAATTCTTTTGATTTCGTCGTCGCGGCGTTGTGGATGGTTGAAACAATTCCGGGAAGCAGCGAGTTTATGCTCAACCTCTGCGCCACCGCAAGGGCGAGCTTTCTCCACCGCGTCTCCGCCACCTCTGCCTTCGCTTTCGGATCCTGCAAGGAAGGCTGGTACTTCCGCTGCATCGGCCTGGACCCTTGAATCCGATCGAAACCCTGTTTCCCTTTTGATCGCTTCTCTTGTCCTCTCACCCTCGATTCCCCTCCAAATTCGAGTCGAAGATGTTGCTGTACAGCAAGCAGAAGAGGAACCAGAACCCTAAGGGAAACAGGTTTCTGGTGAGCATTAACGTTCTGGGAAGTGCTGGGCCAATCCGATTTGTCGTGAAGGAAGATGAAACGGTAGCCAATGTTATGGATTGCGCTCTGAGATGCTATGCCCGCGAAGGGAGGCTTCCTGTTCTTGGATCGGATATCAACGATTTCGTGCTTTATTCTCCTTACTCTGCCGCCGAAGGTAAAATTCGAAAACCTTCCCTCTGATCCAACCCACCTGAGTTTCGTTTTAGGCTTCAATGGTTTGATCTCGTGGCTGTTTGCAGATGATTCCTATGGATTTTTCTCTTTCCGTGCAATCCATACGACTATGTTCTTGTCCGGGATTCTTGTTTTTTTGGACGTATTTTTTAGTGATGTTATAACGTATATTGTGATCAAATTGGAACAGGAAGTATCTCATCAATGCATATATAAGTTACAAAGGAACGAGTAAACCTTTTGCTTCATGCCCGAGTCTTTATCGTTGAGTGATTCTGCTTGCTATGATTTGCTTGGTTAGCTCGCGATTTTATATATATATATATATATATATACGTGTAAGCATCGAGGACAGGCATGGTGATGGGAACAAAAATCAATTGAGATGGTTGGACTGTTTGAGTGTAGATTCCGACTTCAGATGTGCTGTTCTGTGTTTGGAAGCAAATGGTTTTAATTTGTAATTTCATGTTTAAGAATTGAAGCCATGGGAGAGAATTGGGTCGAGGGGTTGGAGGAACTTCGTACTGTGTAAGAAGAAGCCGGAGAGTGGCACTCCATCGGCGTCGTCGAGCCGAAAGGCCTCTTGGAGCTGGAGGGCATGGCTCAACAAGTCTATTGGCATTACTAATACTATCCCTTCCCATTAGTATATCCTCGTAATCTAAATCAAAATGTTATTTCAACCTTAAAATCTGTTTGAAAAAAAAAAACATTTGGATTCTGCAATTTTTGTTTGAATAAACTTCGATGCCCTCTTTGTGTTTTGTTTTGTTATCCTTGCTTGAAATATTACGAGCCTGCAGTTATTGTTGGTGGATGATCAAATATTTGCTTTGATATTATAAGTAGGGGTGTCAATAGGCCCAATGTGAGTCCGCACTCGGTGTGAATGTTTTGAGTTCAGATTGATCCAAATTTTTTTGGTCCTATATAACCAAACTTAAAGCCTAATCTTGTAGGATTCGGGTTAGGATTCGGGTTAGGATCGGTCTGCTCATATCTTTTTTGGATTTTTTTTTAGTTCTTTCATTATTTTAAAAAAATTAAAATCGGGGTTTTGAGCCGATTTAAAATTCGGTTTGATTGAAAGCTCAATTTTTTTAGATTGATAAACGTTCAAAATTCAATATTTTTCGAATGAGTTGCGCGGGTTCCACTCCTGTTGAGGTATCCGTCCGTCAATTCCTTTAAGTTTTATCCTTGCGACAATATTCTTCCAAAACCTAAAAAATTTGATTTCTCTAGAAAAACGAGAATCGTTGTTGTTCGCACTTTGGCGGTTTGGATTTGGCTTCACTCTTTCTATTGTCACCATGTTCGGACCTAATTCGGATACGTCTCTAAGTCAAAATCCAGACTAAAATGACAGATGAACTTATCGTCCGATTATCAACCCTGAGTAGGGCCTATTTTTTGATATTCTACGTATTGCTAAGTGGGTCAAATTTCGGAACAAAATTGATACTCTAGTTATAGGGCTTCAAAGATGTTTTTAGTCCTTGGTTAAAAATGTTATATTCTTTTTTTTTTTATAAAACAAAACAGATGTATGTAAAATGTTCTTCAAAAACAAACGCTCGGCAAACATTAATAATTAACCGTCCGTTCTGTTTTTTTTTTAATTACTTGCAGTCAGATGTATCAAAATATTCCTCAGCGATCTGATATGATCAGCTATATATATTAATATCGAAATAATATTTTTTTAATTATACGAAATCGTGGGGTCAGATGATGCAAGTTGCCAACTTGGAGATTACAATTTTCATGCATGTGGGACCGTCCTGTATGCCTAAAAAATGCAAAAAGTTTAATAATGAAAATATTATAGTATAAAAATAACATTAATAAATCACCCATAGCTTAAATAAATACAAACCACAATAAAGTAACGAGCTATACTTATAAAATGAATGACTCGGGTTTGCATTCACATAATACCGCATAGGATATCTCTTTAAAATTCATTTTATTAGATTATTTAGTGATGTCGGAATATCGCAAAATTCAATATTTACAGTCTCCTGTGTTTTGTATAATAGTGTGTGAGTATATATATACTAATTAGACCGTGTGGGCATCTACGGCTCTCTGGGACTATACAATAATCGTGTTCGAGGTTCCCAATCCACATTAAATTAATCTTAAATTAAATTTATAAAATCGCGCAGCATTTTGGGTCCCTTCTGTCAATCGTTTCGTATTAATAATGCATTCTTTAATATTTTATATTTCTAATGATTTTCCGTGATTTATTCCAGCGACTTGAATTATTTAACGAATATACATTATGTAGCATGATGTATACGCATAATTTTATCATTAGGACCCAACACATTTTTTTTTTTGTAATGAAATATTCAAGTCACTTTATTCGCACCAAACCCATATATAAGACATACCTTGTCCAAGTAATTTACACTCCCGAGGTTTCAAGAAAAGAACCGATTTAGGCCGATTGCGCGATTTAAACTAAACCTAAATTCAGGACAGAACGAGAACTTAAAAGTTAAAACTGAAAATGGTGAAAGGAAAAAAAGCGGTTCGGTTTGTTCCGGTTTAGTTCGATTTGGTTCAGATTAGCTTTGACAGCGATTCGCGACCCGGAACAAAGTTCCTCGAAAGACCGAGTCAGCTCGGTCAGACATCAAATCGCCAAGCATGACGAGTCGGCTCATTGAGCCATCACGGGTCCGCCGGCGAGTTTCCAGGCCGATGTGGTTATAAGCGGCCGAGTGTGCCAACCCAACATCAAGCAACCGTCGTTCTCCTCCACGCCATAACCCTGGCCGCCGTTAAACAGAGACAAAATCATACTCGCCTGCTTGAACGCATTCGAACCGAGATGGGCCGGTGAAAAACCCGCCAACTCGAACCGGGTCCGCCACTGAGCCAGCGACTCGTGACGCTCGACCCGGTCCGGGCCCTCGCAAGCCACCACGTTGCAGATCTGCTTCCCCAAGTAGACTTCGGACATGACTTTGTCTTGGCTGTTTCCCACTCCTTCCAACGAGTCGAACATGGTCGAGTAGTAATGCAGCGACTCGGTAAACCGGTTCAAGAAAGCTGGGCTGTTGTGGTTCGATTCTTGCTCGACGACAGTGAAGATTTCCGGTTTTATCTGTCTCACCACTCCTAGAACCTTCTCGATCGCCCCGGGTCTGGCCAGGAGCTTGTGCAGCTCGAACACGGAGTTGACAGCCACCGACTCGATCTCTGTTGGCCTGAGCTCCAGAACTGACGCTTCGAGATCGGCCAAGCTGTTCGCGACCAAGCCCCGATACTCAAACTCGACGTGAAACACCTCCGCCAGCTGAGCCAGATTACAGCCGATATCGTGAAGGTAATCGGTGTTATCCGGCGCCGGAGGTCCGATTCCGGTAAGCCGGAAAGCGGGAGGACCCCCGGGGCGGAGCGCGAGGGCCTCCATGAGCGCTGGCCATTGCAGACCTTGGTTCATGGAGAAATCGATGACATGAACCCTTTTCTTGCCTTCAAAAGCTTCAAGGATGGCTTGGTTTGCCGTGAAGTGGGCGAACTTGAGGTACGGACACGTCTCGTAGAAGTGCATCTGAAGAGTGTCGGAAAGAGAGTGACCCGGCGGGTCCTGCGGCGGAGAGAGGCGGTAGATCCGCCGTGCGAGTGCTTCGGCGAAGTAAGTGGCGACCTTTCGCATGGCGCCGGCCTGAGACACCGCCAACAAGCCGATTTGCTTTACCAGAGCTTCTGCTAAGGTTAGGTTGTTCTTCTGGACGGCTTCCGCGCACGCCATGAGCGCATGGACCAGACGGATACCATTTTCCTGCGAGTCCACCAGAACCACCGCCCGAGTTGACTCGGAGAGGGTCATCTTCGTCCCGACGCAGTCGCCGATCTGCGGGGCCGTGGACGTCGAAGCATACACGGAATCGGAGATTGAGCATTTCAACCGCTTGTTAGGGTTCCCACCATGGTTGGACGAAGACGACGAATCGAACACCAGCTGGTTCTGTGCCTGCGGGTAAATCGCGTTTCCGGCGATGGCTTTCAGATCGTAATCCGAAGAAGACGGTTCATCGAAGACCCGAGACTGCTGATTCGGAGCCCCGAACCCGATCGAACTGATCGTAGAGGATTCAGCGCGGGTGAGAAACGAAGTATCCATATCTATCGGTCCTGCCCCGACCGCCGATGTAGAAGCCGACGGCAGAGGATTGAGCTCCGTCAACATGGAGTCGAGCCAGGTACACAGCTCAGACGGGTTGTGGTGTACGGTCTCCGTCGCGAGATGAGACAGCCCATCCTCCTGGACATTACCCATCATCTCCTCGAGCTGCTCAAGCTTCTGAGCAACGTCCGCCATTTCGGAGGACCTGACCTTGTAGCCGAGGACGGCGAGGAGCTCATCCATGCCGCCGCCGTCGTCTTCCTCCTTGACCATCTTACCCTTGGGAACAGGCGAGGAGGAAGACGAAGAAGAAGAGCCTGGGTCGATTAATCGGAAACGATTCTGACCTCTCTTCATGATCGGATTTGGGTGTTTTCCGATCGATATCGGATCTAAAGTTTGCAACTTTTTTCTCGCCGAAGAAAGGACTCATCAAAAAGAAGAGAGCATCGGGGAAAGGGTGGGATTTTACTTTTGGTTTTCCCTGCTACCTCCGCTTCAATCATCGCACTATAGAAAAAATAAAAAATTATATTTACTAAAACAGGTCAATAAAAAAATATTATTATTATTATTATTATTATTATTATTATTGAGAAGGGGGAAAACGCTCGTGATGGGGCTCAACCCCCAATGAAACATGTATCAGAGGGCTCACAGTATAACACGTACAGCTCAAAGGGATAAGGTTGATACACAGAAAAAAAAAATAGTAATTTTACATTTTTCTCTCAAATTTAATAAATATTATTTCTATTAATTGTCCATCGATCCCGAAAATTATAGATGCAGGCTCACGTTACAATCTAAAGTTAAGAGTATCCTCCATTACATTTGGGCAAAACCATAAATTCACATCTCAACCCAAATTGGAGTGAGATGCAGTCAAAAGACATAAACTGATACAATTTATGAGGTTGTCTTTTTATTTTTCTGATAATAAAATTAAAATAATAGGCCCATAAAACTTAAACATACAAGATCAGATACTCAAAGGTGTCAGGCTGATTTGCAAATGTGTCTATAGTTATCTTCTCTATTAATTGCAAATTGTACTTAGAGTTATATAAAAAAAAACTTTTATTTTTAAATAATTTTACATAAAAAATTGTACAGAAAACTTTTATCTTTTGACCGACGTTTTATTTAATTTTTTTCTCCTTTTTAAAAAACTTTTTAGTCGGTTGTTTTTTACGGACTGAAGAAGCTTTCCCAGTGGCATAATTAAATTCGCCTAAAAGCTGTAATGAGTTCATTACACTGTTTTTAGTTCCTATGACTTTAGTTCCTAGGTTGAATGGTAATAACGTAGCCATGTTTTTTTAGGGAGAAATAATAAAACTAAATGCACATTATTAATAATATCAACAATAATACTATTTATTTGATTTAACTTCTGCTATCCAAAATATCTAAATCTCAATAAAAACTTTATAAAAAAACAATTATTCTCAAGTTAATTTTATATTCGCTAGTTGGAGTTTGCGAAAGCATAAGATTTACGTATTTTTTGAAGTTATAATATATTGAGTTTTAGGCCTTTGCTGACCGCAAGATTAGGCCTAACGCCTGCCCTGAAACCCAATAATACTAATTTTATTTTAACAATGAACGTGCTAATCTGTTATTAGCTTACGCATACGAATTTTGGTTAAAAAAATGGAATATTCCTAAAAATATGGTAATTTTCATGATAAAATATACTCGAACGACTAGTAAATAAATACATAAATTTTAAAGCCTCATAGATATATAGATTCCTTTACAGATTTTTTAATATAAAGTATCAGGAACTACAATTTATGAATATTAAACAGTAAAATCTATGAATTTAAAATATATAAATCAAATCGGTATCTCAAGCGAATATATTGTGTGTGTGTGTATATAGCTTAAAAATAAATATTGGGAAGCTCGCACTGACAGCACGTTGATTCCACGTGTAAATGGGTCCCACCGTTCATTGTACCATGTGATTCCTTCCTTCCTACATGTCTTTTCTTCTTTTTTTTTTTACCGCTCCCGGCCATTTTTTTTAATCATTCGCTGTTACGTCATTCATCTGTTCTACGGTGTAGTGTCATTTTCCTGTATTTACTTCTTTAATAAATTGAAAATAAAGCTTTTTTTAAAATCACCATCAGATGAAATGGCTCGATCGATGTTCTTAATTATCGTCCTAATCTTAAAATGGGTAATTAATTGAATAATCATACACCTTCATACCTGTAATAGGAAGTGTTTATTCTTAATTTTGTCCGTTTAATTTTTTTTTGAAACCGTGTAAAAAAATATTATTTTACTGACTTCTTGATACAACAATATGTAATTAGGTAATTTATGTTAGAAATTGCTTTTGCATATGTTTTTTCGGATAATAATAGGCAAGATGGCCTACAAAAGTCATATCAAACACACAGTAAATAGTTTCTACAATAATGATTTCAGATAAATTAAGATATAAAATTTTGATGTGTGGTTGTTACTACGGACCTCTTGGATTGGGATTTGCACAATCAAGTAGTTCCGCTTTGGTGGAAGACAGGGCATGGAAATGGTGTCAAATCATCTGCCATAATTTTATTTTAGTCACGTCTACTGCTTATAAAAAATATGGTCTTTTATTTCCAAATAATTTTTTAAAAAAAGGGACCAAATTTACATATGTTATGGTATGTTTATGTTACAAGGAATTTATACATACACAAGTATATCAATGTATGCGTGGTTTTTACAAAATGTCTGAAATGCTTTGAATTGAGTAGGGGAGACCACTCATTGAGAGCTGGTTGGTACACCCAAAAAAGCATGAATGCTATATTTAGAATTATTCCCTCTTTTACTAAAAAATTTTGTAATTTAAAAAAAAAAAAAATTGGATTCCTGAAAGGATAGAGATGAAGAGGGCGCGTGTAGCTTACGAGATGTGACGGCGCGTGAATAAAAGGACAGCTGTTGGAAATCGATACGTGTCGTCCACAGCATGAAAGTAAGCGTCCCTGTCCACGTGGCACCACTAATCGATGGGGTCAGATATTTTCAATAAAAAAATCTGATTTTATGCGTATGTTTATATAGGGAGTGATTGTTTTTAACAATCTGACATGTACGTATGAGTAGGTATCCGCACCTTTTCTTCCTCCTCCACATGTCGGTAATTTTTTTTTTCCATTTTCTGTTTACATCAAATATTGCATACACACAAAAAAAATTGTGTAATTGATCTCACTATATATAATGAAAAAACATGTGTTACAGAATTCATGTAACAACGCTCACAGATTTTGACAAATTATAATTAGTCACGTTCATACCCACTAAAAACATGTTTTTTATACTTTTATTTAGAACGATTTATGTAGTTAATAACCCAATAACCGAAACTAATAACGGGTAACTGTAATCGAACTGAATTAATATAAAAATGAATGATTATATTTTTTTAAGCGAAACGGTCCCAAATCGAAATAAAAATGATTATATATATATATATATATTTACAAATGAATACTTTTGTTTATAAAAAAAAATAGATCAAATCCAAATGGTAGTGAACAAAATTCAATATAAAAACTGAAATTTTAAAATTAGAAACAGTTAGATTCCGAATATAAGTGAACTGAATCTGGACTAATTTTATGGATATAAAGTCGGCATTCATACAATCGTAATCCTAAATTATTAAGGTTCGTGTTATATATCAAATATATTTGGAAGTAATCAAATGTATTTAGGAAAATAATGTGATTAAGGAGAGAAGGTAAAGTCACATTTTGACCGACAGAGTCGCATGGTGAACGAATACTAACCTCGTCGTGTTACCATGTACACAAGTGTCCGGACAATGAATGTGCATTCAGTCGCTTTATTATTATTATTATTATTATTATTATTATTATAAATTCCTCACGAATCTTTGCAGAAATCCCAACACCTCTCCGCGGACGAAGGGCCATCTGAGAAGCTTCCTCCTCTGCTGTGTATTCTTTACGTGTGTGGGTCGTTTTCCATATATAAACTCAGCATTCGCGTACAAATATAGTTTCATGAATTAAATTAAAATTTGTTTTGCAAAATGTATTATGTCACACATTGTTAATTAAAAAACGAATAATATATATATATACACGTGTGTGTGCATGACAAAAAATGGGGTCGAGAGGACAAAGTTAAATACGTGTAGATTATTTGGTGACTGATATGTGTATATATATATACATCATACCGACGATAAAGTGCGAGATATCGCTTATAAATAGTTTAGACCTCGAGGAGATGCGATAACTGATAAGTTCGAAATCCGGTGTAAGAAAAGGGAAAAACGCACACGTGTTTTTTGTGGAAGAAATGGACGGTGCCGACATGCAAGCAAGCGAGATTGCGGCGGGGAGTTTTATTGGATAAGATTCAGAATCTCCAGCAACCAATTGTTTGGATTCGATGGATACACCCCCTCTCTTTTAGCTTTGATCACTGATTATTCGATTTTTTTTTCATATTTCATTTCATAAATGTATCTATGCTCGATTACCGTTGCTAATTACACCAAACTATGTACTTAATTATCATATCCACAAGTACTAATATTAGAATCTTCGCTTTAAGACAAAATTGGTCCGTAGAGCAATAAATTCAATATTTCCTAACATTATAATAGTCTGTTCCCCTCTTCAATCAAACTGCCTCCATAGCTTCAAACGCTGCACCAAATTATCATATTTATTCAACACCTAGTGAATTCGACGTAGACCAACCGCTAAATAAAAAACTTACTAAATAAAAAACGCAATAAATATGAAATATATGTATATAAAAAGAAAATAAACGAGACAATTGCTTTCTAGGCCTAAATAAAAAACTTGAAATTTTGGGCCTAAATAAAAAAAAAAGAAATCGTTTGCTTTGGGCCCAAATCAACGTAATTCCAGGCTCATATAACCCAGCTTTAAAAAATGTCTACATATCCGAGCAGTGAACGAGAGTTTCTTTTTCTTCATTGGCACACACACACATATATATATATATATATGAATCTGAGATTACGTGTGTGTGTATATATATATATATATATGCTTTGCTCGTTATTATAGTTAAGAATCTTATGATATGATTAAGCTATACTGTGCCGTCAATGACGGAATCGCCATTCTTCAAGGTCTGGTTTTGGTCAAAGAAAAGATTTGGGTCCCGCTCTTACTATGAGTAGCTTATACGACGGTGGAACCCACAGGGCCAATCCTCTGGTAATTTTTCGGCTAACCATATATCCCAATTGCATAATACCACCGATTTTGGTCATTTCCGGTTAACCCGGGTTCTCATCCGGCGTATTCCAACCCGTTTAGAAGCACTGTCGTATTCCGATCATTGCCGTACATTCTTTAAAATAACAAGCCCCTTGCTAATAATTTGATTATTGTGTTCGATTTCCGCATTTGCCGTCACCCAATAATATTTCGACACATCATCAGCGGTTCATATTAAAGTTTCAGCAACGTGTTATTACCCCATTGCTGCGGAATCAGTGACAAACAAATTAAGACCAGGGAGAGTATAGTAATTTCGATATAAGTAATGGGGAAATGTCTTTGCCACGTCAACAATCCGGAAGGATGATAATGTGATAAAACTACAGCCGTTAGAATCAACTTAAAAGTTGGAAACCCCAACCGTCCGATTAACCCTCCAACTAAAACATTATTCGATTATTTTACATTTGATCTGATCCCCGAGAAAACCACTTGACCCCTTTTTTTAAAATCCCTCCAAACGCACAGTCCTCCTCGCTTCAGCGCTCACTCGAATCACAGCTTCTCTCTCTCTCTCTCTCTCTCTCTCTCTCTCTCTCTCTCTCTCTGAATTCAAATTTCACATGGCGACAGAGGAATTGTTTGATCCGCACAGTGCTCCAGCGGCGGAGCAGGATTCTTCGCAGCCGTTCTCTCTTCCGCCGTATCCTCAGGTAACTCCTCTCTCCGGGAGCTCCAATTCCCTCGGATTTTGAGAATAATCCTTTAAATTTTGGCGGATCTGAGTTTTTCCTGCGTTCAGATGATAATGCAAGCGGTCGAGGCCTTGGGCGATAAGAGCGGCTCCAACAAGACGGCGATCTCTAAGCACATCGAGTCCCTTCACCCTAACCTGCCGCCGTCCCACGCCACGCTGCTCAGTTACCACCTCAGCCAGTTGAAGCAGAACGGCCAGCTCGTGATGGTGAAGAACAATTACATGAAACCAAATCCCGACGCTCCGCCAAAGCGTGGCCGCGGCCGTCCCCCGAAGCCCAAACCTCCGGTCGATTCAAACGATGTAGTCGCCGTAGCTCCTCCGAGACCTCGGGGTCGTCCACCGAAATCGAGAGTCCCGTCAGAGCCGTCAAATCAGCCGAAGCCGAAGCCCTCGTCCGGCTCGGGTAGACCACGTGGGAGACCGCCGAAGAAGCCGAGGACGGATTCGGAGACGACATCAGCTCCAGCAGCGGATCCCGCTCCTTCTCAGCCGAACGGTGAACGCCGTGGCCGTGGAAGGCCGCCGAAGGTGAAGCCGGTGGTAGCGCCCGTTGGTTGTTGAGGTTCTGCTTACGCGACTGAACAGCTTTGACACAAAAAGAAAAAGAATCAATTCGAGAGTAAAAAGAGAGTATTAGCTTTAAGTTAATCTTTCTTTTCTTAAAAAAAAAAAACTTTAGAAGATTTCAGAGTGTAATGTGTGTTGGTGTGGTGAGAACAAGTGACGTTAGAGAGTGCAATTTAAGTGCATGTAAATTGTAGAACTTTATCTCTAAAGTAGCTTGTAGGAAAAAAATCTTAATGTCTTTATATAACTTAATATTACGAGTGTCATGTGTGTCGGCTTTTGTATTCACTTATTTCCCATTTTGTCCTTTTCAAAAACATAGGTTATGAATAGGACAAATTTTTAGAGTTTTGAAATTTAAAAACTTTAAAAAATTTAAGAAATTTGGTTCTTTAAAAAAATTGAAAAACTATTTTAGTGTTAAAATCAAGTAGAAACCAAAAAATCTATTACCGTTCAAAAGCCATAAAATTTACTTTTTCCTCTTTTCTTTGCAATTCATGTGCTAGTTCTTTTTATAATTTTAATATAAGAATATTAAAACTCAAGTCGGTTAAGGGCACAGACCAGACTTCTGAGTTCGGCCCAACCGAGTCAGGGCCCATATTAATAAGGCCCATTAGGCTTTCCCAATAAACGTGAAGACCTGCACCAGTTCAAATATCAAGCTGGCATAGCCTATAAAATTTACTCTTTTTTTTATTTTTTTTATTTCAACGAGCATCACACTATATTTTCATATATACATTATCATTTATCAAAAAAGAGAAGAAGTTAAACAACACTCATGTAACTTTCGGAAACTACTAGTTAAACTCGGAGTTCAACTCAGTTAACTCGGTTTCAAGAGCCCTACAGATAGTAAAAACCAAAACACCCACCATACAACATAAGCATAAACCCTAGTGGAAAAGCTTTCACTTTCACCTCCTTATATACTGATTTTTTAAAAAAAGGATAAAACACACACACACAGAGGTCAGGGAGCTCCATTATTGGCATAGACGTTAACCAGAGCCAGAGCGTTGCTGGTGAACTTCTTCACGTCGGCGATTCGCTGTCCAACCGCCGTCTTCGCGTCGACTTCATCCACGTCATCAAATCCATCCATACATGTGTCCTCGTCCGTGAGAGCAGCGCTCATCCACGTCAGCACATTACTCATCATATGGTCTTTTATTTCCAAATAATTCCCCCCGAGCCGCCGCTCCGACGACATGGCGGTTCATATCTCGGAGCTGCTTGAGAGAGCCTTGCATCTGGTCGATCGCGTCTCCGACGTTCGAAACGCAGTCCTGGAGTGCGGCCGCGGTGCCGTTCTCGGCGGCGCGTGAGAGCTTGGTTAAGTAAGCCGCGGTGGATTTGGCGCGTGAGATGGAAATGCTGATGGCGAGACGGGCAAGCCTCGCCGGACTGGCCTTCGCCGCGGTGGCATAGCCTGCAAGCGACGTGAAACACACGTCTGGGTACAGTGTAGCATTGCAACTTGTACGGATGAAATCTAGATCGTTGGTTGTTGGTTCCGGTGGGGAAATTGATCGGACGGCTGAGATAGGCCGGTGAAGGACGAGAAGAAAGGAGGCGACAAGGAGAAACGTCGTCGTATAACTTTGGCTTTCCATTTTCGCTGTTTCTTTTCAGTTTTTTTTTTTGTATCTTTGTCGGGATTCTGTTTGGGAGAACAATCGGCAGTATATATAGGCTAGAGAATTCATTGATTTGACACTTTTGCCCATAAGTATTTCGTAAATTTGCAGAACCGCCACTAATCATATTGTCTGGTATATGCGCTTCGTATGGCTCTTGGAAATCCACTATATTTCCACTTTTGGCTGTATAAATGTAATTTGAAATAAAAATATTATGTAATGGAACTATAATAATACGTGTGTACGACCACTGAACATACTAATATTATTTTCCATTAAAAAATATAGGTTGGTGAACTCAGCAAAAAAGATGTATAGTTCTATTAATTTCATTTTAAATTATAATGGCTTTTAAGTCATAATTGTTTATCGTAAATGCAATTAATATTTTTAAATTTACCAAAAAAATTTAATATTTTTAATGAATGCACGCGTGGGAATTATCCTTACCCAATCTATATGTGAACTGGTAATGAAATTCGTATTGTAAAGGATGATCATTTGTGATGGAGAACCGATAAAAAAACAATTCACACTTGTAATAAAACTCATATATACACAAACAGACCAAATATATGTATATAATTTGAAATTATTAAAAACAAATATGAATCGTTAGAATGAGTGGATGGGACCCACCGAAGCCGGGTTTGCGTGGATATTCGCCTACCCCATCACCAATTAAGCCCCGTGCTCAAGTGGTCTTACTAAATCTTCGCACGCACTTCATTTCTCAAATGGCTCCATCTTTGATCACATACATATATATATATATATACATATATATATATATATATATATATATATCATCCCTTTTTTGAACACTAGCTAATGTTACTTTATAATATAGATTCCGTACGTGACATATTTTCCTATATGATCATTCTTTATTTATATATAAATATATAATGTTATCTAGCAAATAGTGAGTATTCAAGTATTTATACAGATTTAGCACAAGAAATCGAGGGGGATAAATGAGAAATGTCATGATGCAAGATCCAAGTGATGAACATTTTGGAAGGGAAAGGGGCTTTCAAAGTGGGTGGAACATAGTGGGGAGGTAGCCGACTTATTAATGCCTATGGGTATGGGATCTATACCCGTTTACTTTATTTCACTTTTTAATTTAAAAAAAAAAGAATAAGTTTGTTTGTTTGAGAATGTGGATGATGGACCAAGCGTGCTCTTTTCCCACGATATTTATGGCGGCGGATTATCATATTAACGTATTTAGTAAAATAGCAAATCGATTATATTTAGTAAAATAGCAAATTGATCGGAATTAATATAGATGGAGATATTCGGTTCGAATTCGGTTTAAGAATGATTCGATTCGCTTCTTTCAATTTACAAAAATATATACCATTTAGTTATGATATCACATTCGTTTCAATTCGATTTCAGTTTATTTCGCCTTCGGTTTTTGTCAATAATATTTTAAATTTAAAAAAAAACTATTTTTTGGATTTTTTTAGAATTCGATTTTTGGATTTAAAAAAAAGAATTCAATTCGAATAGGTTCGATTATAAAAAAAATGGTTTTCTAAAAAAATATTGTTTGAAAATTTTACATAGTTCGGTTTGGAGAGAATACGGTATCTTTTGATTCGATACGGTTGGAAAAACTGTACGGAAGCGCCCACCCTAGGAATTATATATTCGGTTGTTACATTGTCCAAAGCCCAAACAAACATGGCCCATGGCCATGGATTATATAACGGTTACTTATCCTTGGACCCAATCAATGATATTTCCATTGATGGGCCTCGTACATGTTATTCGGCCCATATTTCTTTAATCATATGCCCATATACCCTTTCAATGCATAACCACCCACCAAATGCTTGAGTTATTAATATTGGAACTTGGTCCATCACAACTATATGCTTTTAAAAATTATGGAAAAAAAAATACAATTCATCATTCGTTGATCGAGAGAATAAGAAGAACATAATTATTCACACATGTCCTGCTTCCTCCTAATAAAATCTTCTAACGTTTCTCTTATTCGTTCTTCCAAGTTTCAATTTATATACAGAAATTATCACATGCGATCATATATATATATATATATATATTCATTACTCTTATTTTGAAGAAAGCCTCTCAACAAGAACATCCAAAGCTTCCTTCATCCACCAATCCAAGGTCTGGTTTTGGTCAAAGAAAAGATTTGGGTCCCGCTCTTACTATGAGTAGCTTATACGACGGTGGAACCCACAGGGCCAATCCTCTGGCCTACACGCCTCTCTTGCTTCATCCACTCTCATCTGTACGTATGTGTATAAATTATGTCAATACATATGCAAATCCACTATATAGAGATTTATATAATTTATTTATTTTTTGTTTGGGTAAAAAAAAAAAGAAAGGGGACTGACCCAAAGGCGTTGACGAAGATGTTGCTCGGGCCAAAGGTCAAGCTGTTCTTTGACGAGCATTGGGAACATGAGCCCTTCATAGAACGTGCCTCTGCTTTTGCTCATGAAATCCCACTCCCCCAGTTGACGCTGCATGCATGCGTGCAAGCGAGCAATATTAATATTCCATTTCTTTCGCATAATTGTATAGATAGATACATATATAAAATAAATATTAAAGGGTTATGTAAATAGAATATTAATGGTATACCTCAATGTTGCCAAGAACCCCGGCTTCCTCGAGGGATTCTCTAGAAGCCGCTTCTTCTACGGATTCGTCAAGCTCCCAGCCACCCTGCCAATCAACTTTCATATAATTAATAACCCCATTTCAAATATTAATTAATCAACTTTCATAAATTTCATATATATATATATATATATGTATACCTTGGGAAACATCATAGCGTGACTCTTCTGTGAAGTGATGACAAGAACTTGAAGTTCCTCACTCATTGTCCCCTCGTCACTCGATATCTTGAATCTATACGGAATACACCTGTGTTTGTGTAATAAAATATATATGAGCATTCACTTCCGAAAACTGGTTTATAAACGAAGAAATCGAATAGTATTTATTTAAAAGCATCCGTATATATATAAATTTGTGTGCGGGCAGATCTACGTATCTATATATATTCGTATGTGTATATAAGTACATACGTGGACGAACAAATTATGTATATATTGTATATACCCGACAACTTGGCGGCGACCCTCGTTGTACCTCTGGAACTGGCGACCCGTACGAGAAACCAAGAAAGCCATTTTTCTTAATGTCGGACAAATTTTTTCGAAGTTCGATTGAACGAAAACAAGCAAAACCCTAATTTATGTTCCGTTAAAGAAGAAGAGAAGCTAATTAGAGCTCTGTTTGAGGCCTATATGTTTCTGAAAAACCCACGAATCGTTGCGCTAAATATATATATATAATAGTTTAAAAAGATCTTAAAAGACAAATATAAAAATAAATAAAAACAAAAAAATAAACAAACAGTATTATGGAATATCTAACTATGAAAACAATTGGGATGTTGTGTTGAGTGGCGTGTGTAGAGAGAGAGAGAGAGAGAGAGAGAGAGAGAGAGAGAGAGAGAGAGGATAATGGATGAATGTTTGATGACAAGGAAGAAGGGATGAGACAAAAAAAACGTCGCCTCTGCCTCCAATGGTTTATCCTTTATATAGAAAACGGTCTCTCTTTTTGTTTTTTGTTTTAATCTTATCACGACTTCTATATTTTGCAGAGTGATTAACGAATATATTATAATTTATATATGTAATATTGAAGCGGAGATTTTCTAAGTTAACATCGTGTTTTGGATTCAAACAAGATATGCTAACATATTTATATTTTTTAATTACGATAAAACAGGCCACTTTCTATGTGCATTTAACCTTATCTTTCGAAATTTTCGGTTACATTGGACTTAATTATCTATCCTAGTCATGTTATGCAGAACACTTTTTAATGGATCACAACAGATTTCATTTTCAACCGAGTTTTTTAAAAAATCCAAAATAAATGAAACAAATAAATATTCATGAAAAGAAATAAATATAAATAGATTTAATTCAAATCCCTGAAATCTAATAAACACTTTTCCCCATACGTGGATACTAGAAATTTTAACATTTATAGTGATTTGTGGGTATATACAAAAAATAATGTTTGCTTCCGTAGAATTTGAAATCTTTATACCATTCTCTATAAATATATATTGATCAATTCCAGCCTTATATGAATTTGCGTTTGTATTTATATGAAACTGAAATATAAGAAAAATGTTATTAGTAGTTCTTTCCGGACCTACTTTGAAGAAGTTAGTATTTGAAATTTAACACATTGGTATGCGTCCGTGTGTGTGGGTAGAAGAAGATTCAATGGAGTTTCGTGAATATATTTCTATTATATTATTTAGGCTTCTCGAATGGGTAAATTTTGTATAACGTGTGGATTTTTATATATATAGTGTCCCATGCATGAATTTAATTTCCAGCCACCATTTTAGAATATTATTTCAAAAAGCACATAGCACACACACACATATATATATATATATATATATATATATATATATTATGGAAAAAGCCGTTGATGTAATGGTAAATAAATTAATACGTTTATTAGAGGAGTTGGTAGCTGCACTGAGTTGAAATTTACCTGCGGAATGTTTCACGCCGCTTTTAGGTGACTGTCGGAATTTACGTACGTACGGAATTGTCGTCATGCAGTTTTCGCATCTTCTATATATACACACACATACACGATCATATCATTGATATATATATATATTAATATATATATATATATATATATATATATGCTACTGCGACGTTGTTAATACCATGGGATGTAGAAACGAAAGGTTGGTGTGTATACGTGTCGACTAAATAGTAGAATATTCTATACCGATCTAATTAACTCCAGTTCTTTTTTCCACCCACAATGACGAAAACATGGAAAATATTTATTTTAAAATATTAAAAATAAAAAAAAGGAATAGATAAAGATGTGTCGCCTTCTTACGAAGACTTGGGCAAGCGTGTGGGTTGAACGGAAATGGTCGGAGTCCACATGGCATCTGGAGTTGGAATAAAAGTTTAATATTTGACTGACGGTCCACCCGCCCGCCTTCTCCTCCTGGGAGGTTATGATCACACAAACAATATCGCCATTTCATTTTTATTTTCAAAAATTTGCATGATTGATATATTATATTTTCTATAAAATAGGGAAATACAATAAAAGAAGTCAAGATGTGTATGCAGGGTTTTTTTTTGGCTATTTCTTTTTCTTTTTTTTTTCTTATATATAAAAAAAGAAAATACCCAAAAAAACCCTGCATACACACACATCTTGACTTCTTTTATTGTATTTTCATCAACAGGCACATACATGAAAATTTGGTTAATACAGTCTACAGTGCAAATTGATTATTGATATGTGATTATTATATTTCTATATATCAAATTGAATGTACATAAATTAAAAAAACATTCATACTAAATGCATTTCATAATTTTTTTAATATAATAAAGAACCTTTACATATTAATATGTGTATACATTTGTTACACTATGTTTATATACATATATATATTTCCTATTGGTGCATGAGAGACTCCATCTGCACTGATGGACTCTTTCTGTCTAGACAAGAGCTTGCGGCAATTTGTTGTATCAACCAAACCAACATATAAAAACAACAAGAACATTGTACTAAAACTTCAGTTAAAAGTCTAATTTATACATTCAAATATAAAAAAACTCTAATGAAATAATCATAAACAACTCAAATGCAGATATAAATATATAAATATGTACGTATACAAACATACCCTGAAACCCAATTTCTATCTACGCATCATAACGTTGCGGTACCACAAAAAACTATAATTATTTCCATTCCAAAATGGAATCATAGCGTAACATGACAATGTTCCTCCAAGTCTTCATTTTTCGTCATCTTCAACCTCTATCCTCCATGTGGATTTCCAATTTAAAAAAAAAAAGAAAAACAACACAAAAAAACCACGTTTTTTTCCACATCCAAGGCAAAATTAACACCCAAAAAAAAAAAATGGAAAAAAAAAGAATGGTAATAACTCAAAGCGTAAAATCAAAGAACTCAGACTTACTAAAGATATACAATTTTACAAGTGGGGAGAGAATCAGATACAAGGCGAGGGACCTTTTGATTGGTGTCCGAACGAAGAAAAGGAGGCAGCAAATACAATGCCGGATAAAAGCTGTAACTATTAACGGTTCTTTTTTCTTGACCCTTGTCCTAACCGTTTATATTAAGTTCTCTAATCCGTGAAACAGCCATGTCAGTATGCGAAATGGGAAGTACCTCTGAATTCGAAGTAGAGGAACTCATGCTGTTGTTCTGTGAGCTCGCTCGAGCTTTTACATGCTCACGGTGCTGATTCTGCACTTTCTGAAACTGCTGCAGCCTCGCAGCAAAGTTAATGCCTCGGTGGGAATGGGAATTGCTCGTTTCTTCATCGTCTATGTTACTGTCCTCTTCGAATTGTGATCCGTGGTGTAGGTATTGGCAGAAGGGGACTCCTCCTGAAGATGCTCGGCTCAGTTTTTCACCTCTGATGGAGTATGATGGTACGGTCTTGAGCCGGGTTCTTAGAATCTTAAATGCTTCACTTTGCTGCACCAACCAAATAAAAAGTGTACCGATAAATTAAATAAATCCGCAGTGGATTATGTTTTGGAGACGTTTGGATGATTAAAGCTTGCATTGCGATAAGAACCTAGCTCCCAACAATTCCCACATCTTGAACAGATTACTCTAATAAGCCCACATCAAGTGAATCCTAATGTCTACATGTCCGTGGGTTGTACAACTTTGATGACTCAATGAGGGATCATAAGACATTGCAGGCAGAACTATACGTTGCGGCTTGCATTATGATATGAATTATGAAGACAAAACATTAAACATCTATTATATAATTTTGTGGCCATAGAAATAAGGTTTAGCCTTGGTAATAACAGATGCTGCAGAGCAAGGGATTTACCTGGGGAAGTAACATTAGAAGACCATAAAGTGTTTTCAGTAACCAAATGCATCTTCCTGGTTCCAGAAGCTGCCAATTCAGGGTCAAATGTTCAAAAATTTGATGGAAAAAGCACGTGCAACTCATCTGCGAAAACAGAGAGAGGGCGACTCACAGCAAATTACTTAAGAGATTGAGCAGTACCTGCAATCTAAGGTAAGTAAAAATCGGAGTTTCCAGCAGCCGGATCAATTTATCCAGCTGGACCAGGAATTTAACGTTAATGTCTTCCTCAACCAAAGATTGAATTACCATAATTGCATGTTGGTATGCCTGTCAGGTAGAGTATCATAATTCATTAGACCAGAGAAACACAAACACATGCATCTACTTGGAAGGAGGGGGTATTGTGGAAGAAATTTTACCTGAGCTAGTAAGCAAAGACTTATTATTGCCATGGGTGAATGGCACCATGAAGCGTACAAGGCGACAAAAAGGCCTTTCCCTTCGTGGTTGACAAGAGAATGTTTTAAAAGGTCTCGGAGTTTTGATAGCTCGGGGGAAGTAAGCAAAATTAAATTCAATGCCTGTAAAACAAAAAGAATAAAGAACCTCATTACAAAGTTACCTAAGGTAACAGTTTACTATGCTATACGTAAAACAGGGCGTTTTGTAATCATATGAAAAAACGAAGATATCCAAGTTGACCCATCAAAGTGATAAAACAGAAATGAAGAAGCTTAACAACTGCTTTTTTTTTTTGTAAGGCCACACAAAAGATACCAATCATCTACAGTGTTGATACTGCAACATTGTTTTACCCCCCAAAAAAAAAGGAAAATGGGAAACCTGAACCATGGTAGAAGCAAAATCCAGCTCCGATTCTCCCTCGAGTATATTTGAAAGTTCTCGGTAAACTCTTTCAGCATCCAAAAGCACACAAAGTCGCCTAATTATAAGAGCACCTCGCCTATAAGGAAAAGAAATGACAGAGATGTTTAAATTTGCAAGCTATGCAAGAAAACGAGCAGAATTTCTGATCAACTAAATATCTTCTCCATTCATTCATTGGATAGGGAAACCGACGTCGTATCAAAGGTGGGACTCACCTCTCCAGAAGAGAATTATCAATACGAAAATTATGGACTAGAAAGACAATGAGGTGGCGAAAGTGCTGTGCATCTTTTGCTACACCAGCATGAACCTCCAGGACCAAGAGCACCACCTTCAAAATATTTGCCAATCCAGAAAGTTCAATGCATCTCAAGCCAATCACCAGGTTAAAACAATTCAATTAGAACAAGTCCACAGACAATAAACTTACATTATCGGACGGATCAGATAGTGCTTTCAGAAGGGTGTCAAAAATGTCATTTAGAAAGCATAACACCTAAACCGGGCATAACTAGGTTAGTTATAGAGTCTTTAATTTGTTTTGGAAAAAAAGAACGACACAAATTGAAAGCGATGAAACAGAAGCCTGGTTTCCTCACCCCAGAACGATGCTTGTTCAGAAGTGTTGATATCCAGTTCAATGCTTCAATTCGAGTAGCCTCCCATTCACTTGATAGTTGCCTGATCAGTCAAAAAGGTTCATGATCACGAAGATAGGCAAAAAGCAATATTGTCAATGAACACAATTTCAGAGGAGGGGAAAGATCTACTGCCAGGAACCTTCTATAATAGCCCTCAATAGACAAGCACTTTCTATCGATAATACACCAAGCAAAACTAACCTCCTAGCTACAGAGAGAACTGCCCCGACATCAAAGCCATCTGAGGGCTCCACTTGGATTGACCGGAGTTCTTCATTGGTTTCACGAGCAACCTGAAGCAAATAAGAAAATATCATCCAAACCCACTGAAAGAAGAACAACCAACCAACATTTTATCATTACGCAAGAATATCAACCTACCACCCTGATTTTCTCTTCTTTATCAGATATACAAGGCAGAATAGCTCCAAGAATATCCGCATAATAATGGACAAGCTGGTCACCCCCAAGTTTTACAAACTCGTTTATCTACAGAAATATTGCCAAAAATGAAGAACCCTTCTAAGCAATTGAATGGCCAAAAATAAAATCAGCACCAAGATCTAACTAAAAGAGGAAAACAAAAATATGGCGTTTGCTTACCCATGTGATTGCTGTTAATCGAGTGAATTCATCAGGTGAAGAAGCCCTCTGCACTAATATTTCAGCCATGCGACCATAATCTACAGACTTCAACAGTAGCACTGCTCCAGTCAGAAATTTACAGAAGAATGAAAGAAAAAAACAAAATAGGTATCTGTGAGATGCTTTCTGGAGCTTTTTCCTGTAGGAACAAAATACAGCTTGCAAAAACCATATGAAATAGGAAAAAAAAAGGGAAATCTGACAGAAAATGATCTAAAGTGATATATAATAATAAGGTTTTGACTTGCTTAACCATCAAATCAAGCATCAGCAGAAGTCTTACTGGTGAATTTTTTATCTCTTGGAGAAACTCTGAAAGAGCTGAGTCCGCTTGTTGCCGAATTTCATGACTGGAGTCACTCAACATATTGAACAAGCCTGGAAATGGAGAAGATAATCAGTTCATACAACCAAGACTTCAAGTTTGATAAGGACATTTCTTATCTTAGTTATTAAATTGTCTTACCATCAAGAAAGTCTGGAAGGAAACCAAGCATATCAATGTCCGGAACACTGTCAAGCACAGTGATCCACCCAACCAGAAATTGCCGAACATAAGGGTTTAGAACGTTCATGCGCTCTTTTAAGAGAGGTATAAATTCCTCAATACTGCAGGAAAAAATTCCAAAGCAGGGGAGGATATTGAGAAGTAAGCCTTCAAAGTTGCAATAATCATAAGAATTTTTTGATACACAGACAGTTAGCTAGCTCGGCACACCTGAACTGATCGCTTTCTGTAACAATATCCTGTTCCACAAGGTAATTACAATTCAGAGTAAACATATCACCAACTGTGTGTTAGACTATGTATCTTTCAAGAGATGAGCTAGTGGTTAACCTTGACAAGGCGATCTAAAAGGTGAGCAGCACTTTGCACGTTGGCATCAGAATCTGCTGAGAGTTTGCACAAAGCATCAAAAATATCATTAAAGAAAATAATGAAATCGCCCCTCACAACCTGTACATAAAAAAAGGAGGTGCATCAATGCCAAAAAATCTAGATGATTATGCAAACAACAAGATATTACAGTCTTACCTTTGCAATATTATAGAGAGCTTCACAAGCATAGTATCGAACTCGGCTATCTTGATCAGAAAAGGAATTAATCACAGGCGGTACTATTTGCTGTGTGTTCCATTCATCAAAGAAAAAAAGACAGAATTTTCATTACAAGCAAGAAAAAATGATAAATGCACCATAGACAAGGAACCCAGATGAATTGAAAATCGGCAAGAATCTATAAACATTGCATTCATTGAAAATATAGCTGACTCTGAGCAAATTTCCACCCGTTCTTGACAAAAATGTTTATAAAACTTTTGCATTCCGAGTCCAAATGTTTAGAAGTGCATAGTATCACAACTCTGATCAAGCTCACAGGAGTAGAATTCAGTTAAGCAGATACAGTATATGGTCACCATATGCTTCTGAGATGAATACATGTTAACAAATAAAGTGTCCAACATAAACCCGGCTATATGCCAGAGGCCAAACATAGAAACCATAGAGTTTGGACAGTTTGTAGTCTGTGTATACCTCGAGATATTGAGCAGCTTCTGAAGACAACCCAACTGTTACAGCAGCTAAGCCGATCAAACCACCCTACACAAAGACAACATAAATATGGTCTGATGCCCTCCGTCTAAGTCAGCGATGCTAAGTAACTAGCGAATTGCTGCAAGGAATTAAAAGAGTTGTTTCCACGAGAACTGACCTTCCGATGATTTGTTTGAGGTGATTTTGCAAATTCTTTTATCAACAACTCGATAATTTTCGACATCTTTTCATGATCTCCCGCAGCAACTAGACTCTTCACAATCCCCTCCAGCTACAGAAGAGACAAAAATCCATCTCAGGCAACGAAACTAAAAAGAGAGACAAGTTCGCGGCAAAAGATTGCAAACCAAAAACCCTAGAGATCGAAATTCCACGGGAGAAAGAAGGAAACCGGATGGAAACCTCAAGAGCGGCATTCTTCCGCTTCTCATACAACTTGTCGGAAAGATTGCGATGAACAGCAGCCGGAATCGCAGAAAGAGCGTCCGACATTTCAGGTGAAATCGAGTTCGAAAACCCAAATTATCCTTCAAAATCCTCTCCGAGTCAAATCCCAGACGATCACCGAATCCTCCGACAACCTGAAATCTTCTCGTCAGCAGATAAATGCTCTCCCGAGGGTTCCCAAACTCTCCCCGCGATCGAAACTCGGAATGTTCAACGTCTGAGCAAAAATCAGATCCGACCAAGAGGCTAAGAAGTAACAGACCTCGATTTCAATTTCCGACCGTTTACTAAAAACCTATAACTCGACGAATGAAGCCTTGGTTTTACGATTCTCGTCGTTGGTCGAGAAGTTGAATGGCATTCGTCGAATGAACTGAGGTCGGAAAGCGGCGCGTGGTCCCTCGAGCAAAATGACAAATTCACCCTCACCACAGCTGCTCAGTACTGCTTCGGATAGATGGATAAAATTGTAAATTTCCCATTTGTTTAATATTATTAGCAGCTTGTTTAACTCATCCACAATATTACACGAAATCTAAAATATTTCTCTTCAAGCATATAAATTAGCCCCCAAAGGACAAAAAATGAGATTTCAAGATAAGTTGGCTCTGTTATCATATTGGTTCATACAAGAACCTAACACTGTTCCAAGCCCTGTCTTCTGCATATCAAGAAACAAATCCGAAGCAGCGACCACATTTCCTTCCTTCTCATAACCTCTGATCAGGACATCAAAAACAGCAGAATCAGGAGATATTCCTCTTCTCACCATTTCATCAAAGACTTGCTTTGCTTCAACCATCAAACCCTTGCTTGCTAACCCGAAAATCAACGACGTGTACGTCAACAAGTCGGGTTCAAGCCCTTCTCGAATCATTAGTTTGCTGTTCCGAGAAATAAGCTTTAGCTACGTGTAATCTACCGTTCTTGATAAGGCCATCGATCAATGTTGAAAGAGTTACCTTATCCGGCTCAAAACCTCTCTCCAAAAGCTCCTGAAACACCTGGACTCCAGCTTTCAATTGCCCAGATTTGAAATATGCATCCATCATCACCATTAATATCATCTTATCAGGAACTACACCGCTTTTTATCATCTCCTCCGTCACTTCTGTTGCCTCCTGTAGTCTTCCGTTACCGCAGAGACCCGATATAACCCTGTATGCTGCTATATCAAGACTCATCCTTTGACTCGGTAAGAATCTTCATGGCGTTATCAACGTCTCTTTTCTTGAAATACCCGTCAATCATAACAGTATATATAATGGAGTTTGGTTGAACTCTGTCCTCCAACATCTGTGAAAACAACCACTCTGTTCTTTCCGGTTTCCCTTGTTAGAAGAATCCATCTATCAGAGCACTGTAAATAACGACATTCAGAGGCAGAGATAGGCATCTCAACTCTTCGTACAACATGAATGCTGCCTCCAGGTCACCAGCTTTACAATACCGATCGATCGAACAAGTGAAAGAAACCAATTGGGAGACAAACCATCTCTTTTCATATCGTTGAATGTCTTCAACCCAATTTTGCAAATCCCCTGATTTGCAGAATGTATCGATCCAAGTACTGTAAGTAACTACATTCGAGGAACAACACTTCAACATCAAACCCATGTACACAAACGCCTCGCTCAATATCTTCATCTTACAAAACCCATTGAACAGAGAGTTAAAAGTAATTACATCCGGTTTGCAATTGTACAGACCGGAACTCCTAATCCTATCCACTGTCAAACATGCCCTCCTGACATCGTTATTTCTACAGTATCCATCAATCAAAGAGTTATAAGATACAACATCGGGCAAACACCCGTATCAGCGAAATTAACCTGCCCTAATCTGCATATGAAAGAAATGGCTGAGCTGAAGGAAGAACGGTGAGGAGTAAAACCTCTTGAGGGCAAGTAAGCGAGGAACTTGAGAGAAAGAACACCGCAATTCGACTTGATGAGATGATGAAGATGCTTGTTGTAGGTGATGGGGTCTGGAAAATTCGACGATTTTCTCAGGCGAGAAATAAATTGAAGGGTCTCTCTGACCATTCATGGACATGGGATTTTTTAATCGAATTACTCAGAGAAATAAATTGAAGGGTCTCGCCGGCGAATCTTTTGCAGAAGCCTAAACCCTAGTGGCAAGAGGTGAGAATATCAGCCAGGTCTAAACGGCGTCGTCTGGTACCGTTCTCCTATTGGGCTTTAACCCCATAGCCCATTTTATGTTTCCCGCCACGGCCCATTATGTGCTCAAGGGGTTTCTAATATGGAGATATTGTGAATAAAATAAAATAATTTATGAACAATTGAAAACCTAAAACAGATTGCAAATTATATGTGCGTGTGTTATTGAGAAATATATTATCGCATTGAAACCTGTTTGGATTTCGAGATTAATTCGCAGGAGTTGAAGGACAAAATAATTAATATTAGAATTGTGATAAATAAAGAAGGGGGAAATTTAGAAACAAATGAAATAATTTCCCGCTTAGCAAGCAATCAGCTGAACAGAGTTTCCCCTCTAATCACGCGTAAAGTAAAGATTAATACAATAGTTAGTTAATTAACGCGTAATCAATCCGGATGCAATAATCTCTCTCTCTCTCTCTCTCATTATTTAAAAAACTACTGTTACCGTAACCATAAACCTCTTCTAAATCTCTCTGTAAGCGACCGTGACGTCCATACGGCGCCGGTTGGGCCGACGACCTCAAGCCCCAGAGAGAGTTTGGATCGTGATGAGTCTGCGCCATTGTTGATGAGTTAGTGTTCGCTCCTTCTTCGCAGTCCTGCATTTTTTTTGCTTCTGAGAATGTGCTAAAATAGCTTTGTGGTCTCTGTGTTGCATGTGTTACGGGTGATTCTGCTGGATTGGAACCCTAACATTTGGATCCTTTGGGATTTGGATGTGTGGCAAAGACTGACGATCTAGGTCGGAATATGGACGAGAGAGGAGTTCCATTGGGGGTGAACTATGGGCGGATGACTGTGAGTGAGAGCGGGTCCACGGCGATGACCCCTTCTGCGCAGCCTTCCTGGTTGACCGTATCGGCTAAGAACTCCACACAACGGAGGTCGGTGAGGCCGAGCTTTGACGCGGACAACGAGTTCATTGCTCTACTCCATGGCTCGGATCCGGTGAAAATTGAACTCAATCGGCTCGAGAACGAAGTCAGAGGTGCGAAATGCTATTCGATCTGTGAATTCCTGTGGTCGACTATATATATATATAGCGTTTATTTTGACGATTGTGTGCAGTAGACATTGACTTGGATGCTTATTACCTATCCCTTACGTGCATGCACGTCATTCTTAATTTAAACATTGCTCGAGCGCAGACAAGGATCGGGAATTCTCTGAAGCCCTGGCCGAGATCAAAGCATTGAGTTCATCTGAACGGCAGAGGGAGAAAGCCACTGAAGAGGTTAGTCTTACATAAGCTTGGACTATCTTAAAATGTCCTAAGTATTTCCATGAATTGCGTGTATTTACTGTCGTTCCTGTTCGGTCTTAAGAGGCAATTTGATGTTTTAAATATACATGTGTACTTATGTGTTGGATAGTCATTAAGATAGTTTGGGATATATGGATCCTGGAGATGATATCGCCGACTTATGTAGTATCATTCACTGGTTTGGAGTATCAGCAAGTAATCTTCCTTTCACATTATTAATCTATCCGCTGAAACTTTGCCCTGTTCAGGATATGCCCTGGTGAAATAATCTCATTAAATCAAGACTTTGCAAAAACATCTCGATTCTTGGCATATTTGTATTTGTTAGGGTTAATTCCTAGAGATTGAAATTGTTCAAAATAATTTCTAAACCCAGGTTCGTTAACTATCCTTTTATTATTATGTCTGTTCTAGTTGCACACTTGCACCAGAGTTTTTCAATCCGCACAGTGGGCGATATTTTTAAATTAAGGATGGACTTGCAGGACTTATAGGCTTGCTGGGTTTTCTGGTTGTTGTTTGGTTTTATGTTGTTCTGGTTCTTGTTCTTTTGGTTCAGCTTCCTATTGTCCCTTTGTCTATGATCTGTCTTCATGTTGATTCGGCTTGTTCCAATCATTTTGCCGAGATTATAGCTATGGCTGAAGTCCTTTTCTTGGAAGATGTGTTATTATTTGGTTCTGACTATGGTTTGTAGCAAGAGGTGCAAAATCCTTTTCTGATAACAGTAGGAGGATTTCACTAGTGTGTTTACATGTTTAGGTAGTCTATGTATATAATCATTCTTCCATTCCCTGCTAACCGACCTTTTTGTTGTCTAATTTGATTGTTGTAGCTCACTGAAAAGTTGGGAAAGATGGAGGAAAAGCTCAAATTATCTGAAGCTATACTTGAGAGTAAAGTATACTTGCAGCTCCTTTTTCTGTTGGATGCTTTGATTTCTTTTCTCATGTTTCTATATTTAACATTTTTGGATATTCTTGCAGTACCTTGAAATAAAGAAGATTAATGAAGAAAAGAAGGGTTCCATGGCAGCTCAGTTTGCAGCAGAAGCCAACCCAGGTTCGTTAACTATCCTTTTATTATTATGTCTGTTCTAGTTGCACACTTGCACCAGAGTTTTTCAATCCGCACAGTGGGCGATATTTTTAAATTAAGGATGGACTTGCAGGACTTATAGGCTTGCTGGGTTTTCTGGTTGTTGTTTGGTTTTATGTTGTTCTGGTTCTTGTTCTTTTGGTTCAGCTTCCTATTGTCCCTTTGTCTATGATCTGTCTTCATGTTGATTCGGCTTGTTCCAATCATTTTGCCGAGATTATAGCTATGGCTGAAGTCCTTTTCTTGGAAGATGTGTTATTATTTGGTTCTGACTATGGTTTGTAGCAAGAGGTGCAAAATCCTTTTCTGATAACAGTAGGAGGATTTCACTAGTGTGTTTACATGTTTAGGTAGTCTATGTATATAATCATTCTTCCATTCCCTGCTAACCGACCTTTTTGTTGTCTAATTTGATTGTTGTAGCTCACTGAAAAGTTGGGAAAGATGGAGGAAAAGCTCAAATTATCTGAAGCTATACTTGAGAGTAAAGTATACTTGCAGCTCCTTTTTCTGTTGGATGCTTTGATTTCTTTTCTCATGTTTCTATATTTAACATTTTTGGATATTCTTGCAGTACCTTGAAATAAAGAAGATTAATGAAGAAAAGAAGGGTTCCATGGCAGCTCAGTTTGCAGAAAAAGCCACTCTTCGGCGGGTTCATGCTGCTCAGAAGGATGATGATATGCCTCCCATTGAAACCATCCTTGCGCCTTTAGAGGCTGAACTTAAGCTTGCAAGACAAGAAGTATTTTCCTTTCTTGGAGCTAAAATATCTTCTTATTCCTAGACTTTGTAAGTCTCGGGCTATTTCAACAGTCTGGTCATTGGGTTTATATTGCTCGTTTATAGATCGGAAAACTTCAAGACGACAACAAGGCATTGGACCGATTAACCAAATCAAAGGAAGCGGCTTTGCTTGAAGCTGAAAGAACTGTTCATACGGCACTGGCAAAGGCTTCAATGGTTGATGATCTACAGAACAAGAACCAAGAATTAATGAAACAAATAGAAATTTGTCAGGTACTGCTATTATCTCAAATACACTCCATAATTTTAAATTTTTGTATCTCTTTGCTTCTGTATCGTCAGCTGGCTTTATTTATCATTTGTTAAAACTAGGAAGAGAATAAAATTCTTGACAAGTTACACAGACAGAAGGTCGCAGAAGTTGAAAAGCTTTCCCAGACTGTGCGAGAGCTAGAGGAGACTGTTCTTGCTGGTGGTGTAGCTGCGAATGCTGTGAGGGATTACCAGAGGAAAGTTCAAGAGATGAATGTAATAATTCATTCACATCTGTAGTGCCTCAATAACTTACGTCATATCCCATGCTGATCGTATTTGCGAAATTTGGTCGTTTTTCTTAGGAAGAGAGAAAAATCCTTGACCGGGAATTGGCCCGTGCAAAGGTGACGGCAAACAGAGTTGCCACTGTAGTGGCAAACGAGTGGAAAGATGCCAATGATAAAGTGATGCCTGTAAAACAATGGATTGAAGAACGGAGATTTTTGCAGGTCATTTTTTATTTTGTTTTTCTCTTATCTTGCTTCTTCAAGTTGTAACTTGAATAAGTGCATTTCTTCATGTTTTCATGTTTCTATATCGACAGGGAGAAATGCAACAACTGCGTGATAAACTTGCTGTAGTTGAGCGAGCTGCAAAATCTGAAGCCCAACTGAAGGTAACAATCGCCAAGCCATCTTTAGTCGTCTTTTGTCCTGTTTTCTGGCCTCAAGTTTGAATTGCTGCCTCTGTCTTTTGAAGGAAAAATTTCAGCTGCGGCTTAACGTGTTAGAGGAGAGTTTAAGAGGGTCTTCCAGCAGTGGCAACCGGGGGACATTTGGTGGAAGAAGCATTAGCAATGGGCCTTCTCGTAGACAATCCCTGGGTGGAGCGGATAATATGTCGAAGTTTACATCAAATGGCTTTCTATCAAAGAGAACAACAGGTTCTCAGTTGAGATATTCAAGCAGTGGCATGACTACCATATTGAAGCATGCCAAAGGAACATCTAGATCATTTGATGGAGGTACCAGGTCTTTAGATAGGAGCAAAGTGCTAATCAATGGATCAGGTTCGAGTTTTTTACCCAGCCAGTCTTCTGGTGGGTCCAGTGAGGGCGAGTCACCTAGTGCTATGAAAGGAGGAGATTCAGAAGATGACATGAAGGAGAACCCGACAAGAATAAATAATGAGGGTAGTGTACCTGGAGTCTTATATGATTTGCTGCAGAAGGAAGTGATAATTTTAAGGAAATCTTCTCAGGAAAAAGATCAGAGCATTAAAGATAAAGATGAAGCTATTGAGGTCACCCATTTACCCAGAGTAAACGTTCTAATTAGAACTCCAACCAAACGTTGAGTTATCTTTCTTTGCTTGTATAGATGTTGGCAAAGAAGGTCGAAACACTAACAAAGGCGATGGAAGTAGAGGCGAAGAAGATGAGAAGAGAGGTAGCCGCCATGGAGAAAGAGGTAGCAGCCATACGTGTGGAGAAAGTACAAGAGAACCGGGCCAAGCGGTTCGGGAATACAAAGAGTTCTTCAGGCACATCTCATCTGCTCTCTGGAAGGTACTTGCTTGCCCATTAGTCACTTTGCTGCTTTCTTCCAAAAGTAGACTGATCCGATAGAATGTTGAACTAGAAAATCCAGTTGCTTGATCAATTGGCCAGTTTCTTTACAGAAAAGGATAGGCGTCATTTGAGGTTTACACAAATGAATTCGGGTAAGTTATTTTTGCATGGTTAGGTTTAAGTGTAATGAAAGAAGACATTGAGAATGATGAATTTGCAGAGTGTCGGGACGGAGTGGGATGACACGGAGCACACAATGAGAAGGAATTCCTCCCACATGTCCTGCCCTGTCCTGTCCTGATTCTTGAATCACTCATTGATAAAACCACCACCAAAAGCCCTTCCCACGTATTCAAATTAGAGGCCAAAACCCAAAAAAAAAAACTTTTGGGGCAAAACATGTGATGATGATGAGGGATGATGTAAAGGGTAGAGTCTTTGTGTTTTTTACCCATTCTGGCACTGCAAATCTGGAGAGCCTAGTGCGTGATTGTTTTGCACTCTGCTTGGTTAATGTTCTTGTAAGTTGTAACCATTCTCCTTTCTTTGTATTGTAATTTATCTTTGGGAAATGTATGTATATACCCCTTCATCATATATGGAGGACAAACAAATACTAGTTTCTTAAACAATTTGTTTGTTCACGTTAAAAGATGAAGTCGAAATTTATACCTGTACCAGTTTAATTCTTTTAAATCTTGAAATTTCAAGCATTTATTTGTTCTCAAACAAATTTCGAGTAAAATATTCATGAGTTAGATATAAGATATTGTATAATTATGTTTTAACGTGTATAATTTGTATACGCGAACAAGCGGGCCGTAGCAGCCAGTCAACAGTCAGGGTAGGTTTTCTGACGATGTGAGAAGTTTAGCAAATTTCAAAATTGACCCCAAACTATTTCATATTTGAATATGTGAGGCCCACTTTTTTGTTTCAAAGTTGGCTCCCCCCCGACCGTTTCCTCGGCCTCATCAGGCATCTGGTTCTCCTATTCCCAGATTCATCATCCCCACCGACTTCACCAACCCAATCGACTCCTAAATCTTGAGATCTTGTCCTCCTCCTTGTATCTAGATCCGTCACGTTGCTGGGTCCTTGATCCCGATCCAGGAAAAATGGCGACGATGAAAAGTTTGATAGGTCTCATCAACAAAATCCAGAGAGCTTGCACCGTCCTCGGCGATCATGGCGGCGAAGGAATGTCACTTTGGGAAGCTCTCCCTACCGTCGCAGTCGTCGGTGGCCAGGTTTTCCTCTCTTTCCATTTTCCTATATGCATATGGATCCGATCTCGTTTCCGGCTTCTCCCTTCGCTGTTTTTTTTCTTCAGATTTCATCTCTTTACCACTTGCATTACCGATTTTCTTCATGTATCCTTGTGGATCAGAGTTCCGGAAAGTCTTCGGTTCTGGAAAGTGTTGTGGGGAGGGATTTTCTTCCTCGTGGATCCGGTAATTTTCTCATTATGCTATGCTGTTCCTCGATTGAGTTTGGTAGTTCGTCGTGGCTGCGTAAAATTTAGCTGTCCGAATCGATTGAGCGATGAAACAAAACATAATCTTGGGAGACCGAGTTTGGGGAAATGGGATCCGTTTTCGAGTACTTCGAACAACCAAAAATGTAGCTCTTCCTTAGGACCGTTACCTTGGATTGAGAACAGTGTTGTTGGTTCTACATGGATGCACATTTTCTGCAAACCCTTTTCAGGCCGTGTACATATATATAGTTGATCAGATAATTTTCTCTTCTTATAGTTTCTTGAAGCTCCCTTGCTTCTGTTGATTAAACAGGTATTGTCACAAGGAGGCCGTTGGTGTTGCAGCTTCATAAGACAGAAGATGGTACAACGGAGTACGCAGAGTTTCTCCATGCTCCAAAGAAGAGGCTTAGCGATTTTGGTAAGCTAATAGAATCTGTTATGGGGCATCTTATTTGTCAGTGATCATTATGAAACTAACTGTTTGATAACAATGAAGTTCTTGGAGACTTTTCTGGCTAATATGTGTTGTGTTTGCTTTTCCAGCTGCTGTGCGAAAGGAGATCCAGGATGAAACAGATCGTATCACGGGGAAGACGAAACACATTTCAAACATTCCAATCCACCTGAGCATATATTCTCCTAATGGTTTGTGCTTAAGACCACCATTTCATTTTAAGTCTGCCTATAGGGAATGTTGCTTTGAGTTTTAGAAGACTAGCAAATAAATGGTTTACATCCTTCGCATATGATATGATCAGGACCAGCAATAGTCAGCTCTTTTGTTTCATGTAGGGGGATTAGTATCCAGGGATCAATTTTACTCTTTTATTCCATTTCATGTGACCTTGATCTCTCACTTATGAGGATGCTTCTTTCTTGCAGTTGTGAATCTGACACTTATAGATCTTCCTGGTTTGACAAAGGTTGCTGTAGGTAATCAATCTTCTAGTTCATTGAATTCGTGGTTATTTCATCCTGCACATTTTATTGTTGTTGTTGTTCAATGGCATGGATATTGCTCTTGCAGAGGGACAACCTGACAGTATCGTCCAGGACATTGAAAATATGGTCCGTTCTTATGTTGAGAAGGTGAGCTTGTTTAATGCTGTTGATGATTGGACCTGACTCCTTAAAGAAAGAAGATTAATACACGTAGAAGTTTTGCTAGATATTCCAAACTGAATTGGACCAAAGTAGGCATGTAGGAATGGTTGCTACTAAAAGGCTCGAAACTTCAATATCTGCTTCGCGACCATCAATGCTCATGGCATGCTGTCGCACAATTAAAGATGTTGTTAGGTTCTCCATCCTTGGAAATCCACCAGATGCGAAGCTTACCTGGAATCAATGATTTTATCTTGACAGTAAAATCTACAAACTTCTCTCACCAATTTCTTTTTAATATGCCAGCCAAATTGCATCATACTGGCTATTTCTCCAGCTAATCAAGATATTGCTACATCAGATGCAATTAAACTTGCTAGAGAAGTTGATCCCTCAGGTACTGCATGATTTCATGGGCGCTAATAACTTTCACTGTGTAGCATTATATCTAATTGTAGCCGTCTAATTTATCATCTGTGTACAGGTGAAAGGACTTTTGGAGTTATGACAAAGCTTGATCTCATGGATAAAGGGACAAATGCTCTAGATGTGAGGAGATTTATAACCTCTTCAACCTCGGGATCCTGAAATAAGTTATGACTTGTATAATTGTATAATACTTGCTTTGGCTTGTGTTAAGGTTATCGAGGGGAGGTCATACCGTCTGCAGCATCCCTGGGTTGGAATTGTGAATCGTTCACAGGCTGATATCAACAAAAATGTTGATATGATTGCTGCACGTAGGAAGGAGCGTGAATATTTTGAAACAAGCCCTGAATATGGACACTTAGCCAGCAGGATGGGATCAGAATATCTTGCAAAACTATTGTCTCAGGTGTTCTGTCATTTATAAGCTTTTGATGTCATCTAAACCCAAGGTTTAACGCGTAGAATTCACTCTCTTCTATTCTCTTAAATCTTTATCAGCATTTAGAGACTGTTATCAGGCAGCGTATACCGAGTATTATTGCTTTGATCAACAAAAGCATCGATGAGATCAATGCAGAGCTGGATCGCATTGGTAGGCCTATTGCAGTAGATTCAGGGGTAATAATCCTTTATTTCCGTTATCATTCTTTTGAGCCGGGTCAGAAATGAATTTGTGGTTACTCATCAGATATCATGTTGGCTCCCAGGCCCAGCTCTATACAATTTTGGAACTATGTCGTGCCTTTGATCGTGTCTTCAAGGAACACTTGGATGGAGGGTAAGAGATTGTGTGCTCCTGTCTTTTAAAAGAATTCTTAGTCATATGGTTCTTAAACTCTATAGTCTTTATACCATTATAATCAGTTCAGAGACTATAAATGTCTTAAGACATGTTGCATACTTATCTGCAACAATGGCTTTCTCAAACATATTACCAAAACACTTTACCGCATATGGCACGGTAAGTGTAGTTAATAGTTAAGTCGGTTTTGTCTCATATACAGTCTTGTTGTTTCAGACGACCTGGTGGAGATAGGATATATGGAGTGTTTGACCATCAATTGCCGGCTGCTCTGAAGAAACTTCCATTTGATCGCCATCTCTCTACCAAAAATGTTCAGAAGGTTGTTTCAGAAGCAGATGGCTATCAGCCACATCTCATTGCTCCTGAACAAGGATACAGAAGACTCATCGATGGATCAATAAGTTATTTCAAGGGACCAGCTGAAGCTTCTGTAGATGCGGTATGCTCTGGATCTTGTTAGATTCCCTTGTGTCTGAGGCTTAGTTTCTGATAATCTGGTTATTTTCTTGATTTGGTTAATTAGTTGAATTCTTGTCTGTCTTTCATGTGTTGAAGGTGCATTTCGTGTTGAAAGAGCTGGTCAGGAAGTCAATCGCAGAAACAGAGGTGAGAGGATTTTGTAGCCAAGCAAACATACTTGTAGAAACCATGAAAACCGAGCTGTAAAGTCATGGGTGGCGTTTTTTTCAGGAACTGAAGCGATTTCCAAGTCTAGCAAGTGATATAGCAGCTGCTGCAAATGAAGCTCTAGAAAGATTCAGAGAAGAAAGCCGGAAAACTGTTATACGTCTGGTTGACATGGAATCCAGCTACCTCACAGTTGAATTCTTCCGGAAACTTCACCTTGAACCCGAGAAAAACCCACAGCAGAACCAGCCAATGCCACCAAACGCTGCTGACCGCTATGCTGATAATCACTTCAGAAGGATCGGTATGTCTTAAGGCATTTGTCTCCCATCCTAATACCATATTTCGCATTGCTTTTTTTCGGGGGGAGGAAATGATGAAATTTCTCTCTTGTAAATGGGTTTTAGGATCAAACGTCAGTGCGTATATAAACATGGTGATGGACACACTAAGGAACTCTATTCCAAAAGCTGTTGTTTACTGCCAAGTTAGAGAAGCCAAGAGATCATTGCTCAATTTCTTCTATTCTCAAGTCGGGAGGAAGGAGGTAAATTCTACTTCCACTTTGGCTTTTTTGCAGAACTTTTTTTTTTGTTCATGATCATGCGATCGACCCCAAATAAACTTGGGATTAAGATGATGATGTTAAACGTTTGTTACATATCCCTCCTTTTTTTGGGGGGTCTTCCGTATATGATGGATGGAAACGGAAATGTGCAGAAGGAGAAGCTAGGAGCAATGCTAGACGAGGATCCGCAGCTCATGGAACGAAGATCACAGTTAGCTAAGCGGCTTGAGCTCTACAAACAAGCACGTGATGACATCGACTCTGTCGCTTGGAGGTGATTACGAAATAAAACGCTTTTTTTTTTTTTCTTTCATGGTGGGTGTGTGATGGTTTCTTCATTACTCGCTGCAGAATTTATGTTTTTATTGAAACGATTGCACTTCATTCTTTCCGACAATGTATTATCCTGGTCACTTACCAGTGGTGATTTCGGGTTCAGTTTGGTTTGTTTATATTCGGTTTTAGAAAAACTATATTAAAATTCAATTTGATGTGTTCAGTTTTATTTTAATTCGCATCGTTTTTATCGATAAAATGATTATTTTTAATTTTTTTTATTTGATTCAGTTTTTTAGTTTTAGAGTAGTCATAGCCGCCCACGAGTCTTACACCAGATTCAATTTGGTTACGGTCATGTTATGTATTATTAACATTGGATTCGAATTGAAATTAAAGGAACACACAATGGTCGTGGTGGTCATGTATCACAGTTTTCACAGAATACATACACATATTAATACATAGCCCAATGGGCCTGCCAGGTGAAAAGATGGGCCTAATAGCTGGCCCATGAGAGTCGAAAAAGAGCCCATCAGTATCAGGAGCCGATGAAGCGAGACTTGAAGGAATGAAAAGAGAGGCCCTTTTCGATGTAGAGCAAGTTAGAAGGGTCGAAGGGGCATCTCACTCTGTCTATAGATTTGATCACGGCTCCCTCCGGCACCACGCTTCTCGATGGATCCGCTGCCGTTTCTTGGCTCAGACACGACGAGAACCCCTGCTCTCTTCCGTTCTCGTTTCATCAAATCCCCAAAATTTGTTATGTATATGTGTATATCACAACACAATGAAATCACTCACCTTGAAGATGAGAACTTCGACTTCTTCGTCGTCAACAATGGCGTTCACGATGAGAGCTTCGTCCCTACAAGACTGACTGTACATCTCCAGCATCGCTATCTCCTCGTTGTATCCGTACGACGACTCTTCTCCTTCGTACCTCACCCGCCTCCTACTCCGGCACCGGAGTCTGGTTTCCGCCTCCGCCGTGGAGAGGCGGAGAAGGGGTTTTCCGTCATCTCCGCCGCGTTTCCTTCGCCGGAAAGAGGTCGACGGCGGTGAGAGGGGTAGAAGGGTAATTTGATGAGGTGAGAAAGGGGCGGGTGGGGATAGCGAAATAAATCTGGCTAATTCCCTCTCCATTTCTTTCGGTAACTTCTCCAAACAATTCCTGTTGATAAGCTTTTGTTTTTATTTTGTTCATTCTTTCTTTTTTTTTAAAAATTCATTTATATCGAGTTTCTGAAAAAGACAAAACAATAATATATTTTCCCCCGTCCGAAGGAGCAAAATTTTTACATTTTTTTTTTTTACAAAATTATCAAAGCGTATTCGCAAATTTTTTTTTTTAAATTAACGGAAACCACACATTTTAGAAGTAGTCATTATTCTTTTGACTAGTGTAGATATCTTAGTGCCAAATTTTAAATAAGTTGCAAGCCAACAAAACTATAGTGAGAATTCTAGAGTTGATGAAAGTCTCTGGACAAATAAGAGAGACTATATGGCTATAGTCAATTTGCCGTTGGACAAGCCAGGACTTGTGGTCACCCAAATAGTGAAATGCCCACCTTCTGATGTTATCAAACGGCGTGATGGATTATTCCAACAAAGTAAGGGAAGCCCTCTTCAGCTGATTTGCTATGGAGGAGATGGAGTCCGTCTCTGAGCAATTTCAATCATGGAAGAGCCTTTGACGGTGAAAAGAGACATCTTTAAGGAGCTGGAGACGATGATGTCTTGCTCCCAGTTTCATAATCGTGGTCTGGTTCGTGGCTATCAAAAGCTTAGGCAGGTGGGTAGGTAGCTATAAGAAAACGTGGATTTACTTCATAAAAAAAAACGTGGATTTGTGCTCCCTTTCATGTATTAGGAACAGAGTTTTTTTTTTTTTGTGGTTTAATGCGATTGTGTATTAATAAACCGGGAGAGTGGTAAAATTAGATCCAACGACAAATCGCTGAAGACTTCTATCTAAGATATGCCGTTAAGTGGTATTAGGAACAGAGTTAGTGTAAAGAATGAGGTGAAATTCAAAACTGGGATTCTCCAATTGTCTGGACAGCAGATTCTGCTCCTAAACCTGGTATACTGGTCTTTCTACTTCCTCTATTATTTGAGTTTGGGTTCTGTCTATCTCAAGGATCTTACATATCTGACTTTACTCTTTTCCTCCACCCAATCACTCTCTGGTCATTTTTATATACTTCTCCGTCCTTTCTGTACGGTCTCTACAATTTTCAGGAGCGGAGACGGAAACCATGGAGGAAAGCCGAGAACTTGAGCTGACCCGGATGAGGAAAATGGTGGAGAACCTCTGTCGTTGAACAGAGGTAATCGAAAACCGCGAACTTTGTCCTGAAATTTCAAGCCTTGTTGCTTAGCCGCTCGTTGTATTTGTCCACTTTCCAAAAACCAGCCTCCGGTTTTTGTATTTTTTTGCTTTTGGTAATTGTGAAAAGAAAGATTGCATATAAAACGAGAGAGTTACAACTCTTAAACCCAACCTTTTCTTCCTCCAGCCGCCTTCAAATCCCCTCTGCGCCTCCTCGACGGCGACAATGGCGACCCTCACTCGTCAGATCCCACATACCCATTTCCTCTCCAGACTTCCCCTCCGACCTCGACCCAGGCCCTTCCCCGTGAGGGTCAGAATGTCCCTCCAGGAATCTGCGCCGTCTCTCGCCGTCGTCGGCGTCACCGGCGCCGTGGGGCAGGAGTTTCTCTCCGTCCTCGCCGACAGAGATTTCCCCTACAGCTCCATCAAGATGCTCGCCTCAAAACGCTCCGCCGGGAAACGCGTTGCCTTCGACGGCCGTGAGTACACGGTGGAGGAGCTCACTGCCGAGAGCTTCGACGGCGTAGATATCGCGCTTTTCAGCGCCGGTGGATCGATAAGCAAGCAGTTTGGTCCGGTCGCTGCTGAGAAAGGCACCATTGTCGTCGACAATAGCTCCGCGTTTCGGATGGTCGACGGGGTCCCGCTTGTGATTCCGGAGGTGAATCCAGAGGCGATGAAAGGGATCAAGGTCGGGATGGGGGGAGGAGCTCTGATTGCTAACCCTAATTGCTCCACCATTATCTGCCTGATGGCTGTGACCCCTCTTCACCGTCACGCCAAGGTTCGATTTTTCTTCTGAAATCTTTTGGTTGTAAATCTCGTTCACATTTGGATATTTGGAATTCCCTTGCTGGGTTTTGAACTTTATGTTTGAATGATGGGAATTTTTGAAGCTATACTTGTCATTATGTGGAAAGAAATCTGCAGACTTTGACAGATGCAAATGTAGAATCATTCGTTTTTCTTGTGTTCTCTTTCAAAGAAATGGATGGAAGTAAGCGAAACTTATGTGAAAAGAAACACGTAGAGGAAGGAAGAACAGCAGGAAGCAATAGTTAAATCGTTGAAATAGTGAAAATTTCGATTTTTTGCTGACTTTTTCCGGATGGAATTTGCCTGAAATTCATGTACGTTGAGTTGTTTCAAAGAGGTAGATAGAAACAAGCAAGAATCATGAGAAGTAATGGCCGGTTCTGATGCAGGTGAAGAGAATGGTGGTTAGCACATACCAAGCTGCTAGTGGTGCAGGCGCTGCCGCCATGGAAGAGCTTGTTCAGCAGACTCGCGAGGTTTATTCCTCTTTCATCCTTTTCTTGACGCTCGCTGGTTGTTCTTTAACGATTTCTGTCTGAGTGAATTGCTGATTCTTTTCCACTGTTGTTTCAACTTCCAATAGGTTCTAGCAGGGAAACCCCCAACTTGTAACATATTCAGCCAGCAGGTAACAACTTGTTTTTTAATGTATCATCCTTGTACTGATTCAAACTATGAGCTGGATGAACTGAATCCCCTTGAACAACTCATGTTTTTGCAGTATGCTTTTAATCTGTTTTCGCATAATGCTCCGGTTCTTGAGAATGGGTACAACGAAGAGGAAATGAAACTTGTCAATGAGACAAGAAAGATCTGGGTGAGTGTTACTGAAAAAAAAGAAGCTTTTGTTTTTTTCTCTGTGGTGTAATAAGCTTGATGATGTTAAGAGTGTGTCCCCTCGCTCTTGTTCTCGCAGAACGATACAGAAGTGAAAGTGACGGCGACATGTATACGTGTTCCAGTTATGCGTGCTCATGCAGAGAGTGTGAATCTCCAGTTCGAGAATCCCCTTGACGAGGTATTCCACCTCAAAACCCATTTCTCCTCATTCCGATTCAGATTAGTTCATATGTGATGATGTTCTTCCTCTTCTTGAGCAGATATCGTTTTGAGTTCTTGAGGACAGACAACTTATCTGACATAGCTGATAGATCTTGATCTTGCCCATTTGCTGTGTTTTCGTCGTTTTCATTGATTTATAGTGTAGCATCATGATATGATTTCCTAAGTTATAGCTCGGTTTTATCGGTTCGGCTCTACCATTCAGCTTTTTTAACAGTTTTCTCGCCATTTTTATTTCTTCTGCAGAACACAGCGAGAGAACTTCTGAAGAAGGCGCCTGGAGTTTACATTATAGACGACCGTGCTTCAAACACCTTCCCTACTCCACTCGATGTCTCGAACAAAGACGATGTTGCCGTGGGTAGGATTCGCAGAGACGTTTCTCAGGAGGGTGATTTCGGGTAAGTTTTCTTTATCGACTTTTTTTATAAAAAAAAAATTCCTGCAATGAGTAAGTGTGCTAAAGGGGGGACGATTTTTTCGGAATCAGACTGGACATATTCGCGTGCGGTGATCAAATACGGAAAGGAGCTGCCCTCAATGCCGTCCAGATCGCTGAGATGCTTCTTTGATCAATCTCCATGCCCTTCTCTTCATTCATTGTCTTCTTCTTCTTCTTCTTGATTCATTTCTACTGTCTCACCATTGGGGAAAACTGCTGATTTTTGCAACGCTTGGGCCGAAAATCGGTTTGGTTTAACGGTTCTGAATCGTACTGGTAGCTTTTGTAATGCTAATAAGCTGAAACATAGGTGGTCGAGGCAAGGAACCATTATGAGGGTTTGATGTCTTCGTTTGTAATGGTAAGAAGACAATCAGCAAACATGTCTTAAGTTACCAAAAATAATGTTGTTTCTGTAGGTTCTTCCATTTTCCTGCGAGCAAACAATGGAGAGGGCTTGACCCACATCTCTCTATATATATACACGTAAACACGTTCTCGACGAATATATACACTGGCTGAGATCAACATACGGAAAAAAAAAAAGAAAAAAAATCACCAGAGAAGTAGCGATCTCTGTTTCAGGAAGATCCAAGCCGATGTAACAGAGAAAACTTGACGTGCAAGCAAACTTTGCCCTTCTCCATATAAAGCCGAGCTCCGGTGACCAACCAGTGACCGGGACTGTCCTGAGGACCCCGACACAGTTGCGACAAGTCAACGAACCTCAGGATCTTGTTGTTAGCCGGCACCGGAGGTCCGCCGGGAAAAACGCTCGAGTCCAAAACGATGTCGTTCTTGTCCTTGTTGACCAGGTTATGAACACTGCCGGTCAACGGCAGGCTCATCGCCGAGAAAATCCCGGATCTCTGGGAAATTCCAGATGACCCATGAGCCCAATCCTTCTGAACGACGTAATGGTCGGATACTCCGGTGAACCGGAGCTGGAGATGAAGAACGGACTTTGATCCGTGTTTTTTGACGTGGAGCTGAGCTCCGGTAACGATGAACGCGACGGCGTCGTTTTGGGCTACCCAGTCGGGGTTGTACTTCACCGGAGCCGTACACACGTGTGAGAACTTCTTGCCGTTGAGGGATTCGAAGTAACGGCCGTGGTCTGAGACCTGGTCGGAGCCTTGCCAGTAATGTTCGCCGGCGATCTTTTCTCGGAGCGCCGTCGCCGTGTTTGATAGATGCTGAAGATGAATCGCCAGCCTGCATGAGATTTCGCTCCAAAAAAAAATAAATTAAAAATTGGATTTTGATTTTAATATTTTACTACTTATTAGCAAAAAAATATCTCGTGGAAATATTACACTAATTAATTAATTATTACCTATTGCATTTTTTGCCCTCAAGGAATAATCGCATCCCGGTGACAGGGTTCTTCTCAGTTGTCACCTGGTGATTACAACAAATTGAACAAATTATAATCTATACAATATGCTCTTACGACTTCCCGGTCATTTTAAAAAGTGTATATATACACACACATACCGAGTGTGATTGTATGTATGTATATATACACACACACGTAGATACATATATGACGTACCGGAGTGGAATTAACGTAGAGTTTGGGACCCATGAAATTGATGTGGAGAGGAGGAGATGAATAAGAAGAGGGCATGTTTGGGGCAGCACCAAGAGGAAGATCATTGTGGATAGGTGCCCATGTCTTCGGCCCCGTGAACTCTAGAAAATACTGCAGATCCATTAATGGAGGCTTATCTGCCACCAAACCACACGAAACAAAAACCCACATAAATCTATATATATATATTGTATTTCTTCAGTATAATACACGAGAAATCAATGCACATACACATACTTACAGCGGAGGTAGAGAGAGATGGCGTGGGAGAGGAAGACAGAGCCATTGATATCTTTGAGAAGAGAAGAGATGGGGATGAAGCTGAAGTTGATGGCGTCGGGCATGGTGGGCACTGTTATCAACCACTCGTTGTGGCTCTTTGCCCTCTCGTCCCCTCCTCTCTTCGAGCATATCACCGTTATTCCCTGCCCTCGCATCACATGTATTCATTCATACGTAATTTAAATTATATTCTTGAAATAGTTATTCATATCTGAATTAATTTTGCTTGTTTAATGTCTATATATCCATTGATTGATTTCTTTTGCTCGTTTTTGCAACATCTTTATACAAATAATTCAAATTTTCTTTTAATCTCTCGCTGTTTATTATTTTTATTTTACATATTATCATGTTTTTACTTGCATATATAAGTTGTTTACGTGTCAGGCTTTCATATTGCTTTCTGTATATTTTTTTTAATAAGTATTAATTATATGGACTGTATTAATTACTCACATCCTTTGAATTCATCGAAAAGTTGTTGAAGGCCACTGTCTGTCGTTCATCAAACACGTTGAAAGCCTCAGGCAAGTACTGCACCACATTATATTATTATACGATGCACATCATGTAAAATATTTCAAAATACATATATGCGTATAATCATATACACATATATATATATATATGCGCACATCTTAAAATCATATACAAAAGTGTGAGAATGCTGAGTAAAAAAATATAAAATTTACTGCGGACTGCTAAAAAAATTGCGAAATTTAAGCTTTAGTTTTAAAATCAGCGAGTCAATACGATCCTGCTTCACCGCCACCACGTCCTGTCCTCCTACACCCACTCCCACCACGACGTGTGTCCCATATCTCTCTATGAATCTGTCCCCGTTCCATTTATTTAATTAGTTTTTTATAAATTATTATATATCATATCAGTTGTATGCATATATATGATATTGAATATGTCAATTCGAGATAAAAAATTATATTAAATATCATATGAGCAAGCAAGAGCTGACGATCTATTTTATATATTTTCTGCTGTTTGAAAGTCTTACAATAATTGTCAATATATTGTTGGCGTTGCTAATTATTCTACACTCGTCAATTAGTTTATTCATTGAATAAAAAAAAAACCTGATAAAATCAAGTTTATTCCCCATTCTTCGGCATGGTCCAGTTGGAAACGTTGACATTGACAGAATATACATCTAATACTTAATCAGTACCAAGAATTCACTCAAGCGAGTAAAAATATATATATATATATATATATATATATATATATATATATATATATATATATAAATAGAAAATGCAATGCGACGTAATTAAAAAAATACTAAAATGTGAAATACGCACCTGGCTAACGCAGGGGGATCCCAAGAAGACGGGACGGCGTTACGGACGTTATCGGTGAGACGGAGACGGTACGGACGGTCGATGTGAAAGTTAAATAGCGTTATGAAATAACCGTCGAGACCTAAACACTTGACGTTGGCCGCGTCCTTCGCCCACGTCCCGTTCTGCAAACCGAACGTCGCGTTGAAGTACCCCGACGGCATTTTCCCCGTCACCGACGACTTCTGGTTGAAATATTCCGACATCTAATTCACCACGTAATATATTCCACCATTCACAACTTTATATACTGTATCTTAAACCTATAAATTTACTCGAGATTAATATAAATATATATAAATAAATTAGAAAGAAAACAAAAGCGGTAGGAACCTTGTTGAAGTCGAGCATGTCGGATTGGAAACGGGCGTGGTCGCCTTTGTCGCAGTTGATGTCGGAGGAGACATCGTGGAAAGTTCCGAAGCCAGGAACATGAAGATCTCTCTTGCTGGATTCTTCTAGAATCACCAACCTCTCATCTCCTTCTCCTTTGCAGAACTTCAGCCGGAAATCCGCCGTCAAATCGAACCCTTTCCCCAGGCTCCTCACCACCCTCTCCACAACTTCTCTCTTCATCTCTCTCTCTCTCTCTCTATAATATCGAAAACTGTATTCTTGTTCGAACCAATAGATATATACACAAAAAGGGTTAAGCGATTCTAAGCAATGAACCCTTGACTTCTCATAATTCTTCTTCCCTTTCTTTCAGGGTAAGTTAATGGAGAGATATGTGGAGGTGCTTTTATATATATATATATATATATATATATATGTATAGGAGACGATGTGTAAATGACGACAATTTTCAATGTTGATTACGTAATTGGATAAATCTTTAAATGGCAGACCACTAGTCGATGTGTTCTTATAATATATTAATGCAATGATTCAAAGTTTGAAAATGACATGCAACGGCATATTTTACCAAGTCGTCCCAACGGGTTTGATGGGGAGTGGCAGATTTATCCTCTTTATAAGAAAAAAAAATGTTGTTTTTTGTTTTTCATATATGATTTTTTTTTTTTAAATATGATTAGAGAAAATACGGAGACATTGTAATAGATTTGGGTATATAATTAACGAAACCTATGAATTAGGTACTATACATAGTTAAACAATCGCGCCATCTTTAAAATGGCAACGGATTTGGTGTAAATTACAACTAAAATATGATAGATGAATAAAGCCATATTATGTCCAAACCTGTTTTATTTTTTTATAATTAGACAAAAAAAAATTGATAAATTGTGCTACAAATGCGGAGCTCGAACTATGGATGGGTTATTACTCCCACAACCACTGGGCAAACCACGGTAGGCTATAATTAAACAATATTTGAAATAATTATTATAATTTATGTTTAATAGAATTCTTAATAATACAAAACAAATTGAAGATAATAGTATGTAAACTTAAATAAGCGTATTTATTTTCTATATTTTCTAACTCGTTGGAAGATAATATGGACCCCGAAACCTTTGTATGCTTGCTTTCTTGATTTTTTTTATCCACATTTAATGTATTTTTTTTTATTATGATTCTTCATCATGATATACATATGCTGTATAATATAACTAGAGAGAAATAGAAAGAGACATGTCTAAATATGAACGAGACTTAGCTTTAGATGCGGGTTGACCGCTCGGAAACGGTAATGTCTTTTTCGTACAAAAAGCATTTAACAAAAACAAATAAACTCCCCTCATTTTTCTATTTACCTCGATTTGTGTCCACACCACATTATATTATTATACGATGCACATCATGTAAAATATTTCAAAATACATATATGCGTATAATCATATACACATATATATATATATATGCGCACATCTTAAAATCATATACAAAAGTGTGAGAATGCTGAGTAAAAAAATATAAAATTTACTGCGGACTGCTAAAAAAATTGCGAAATTTAAGCTTTAGTTTTAAAATCAGCGAGTCAATACGATATGATTAATTCGATTGAATAACAAATATTACTGCTTTACGGTCAATAGGAAGACCGAATTCCATCATATTTCCATGAAAATAAGTTCATAGAAACTAAGCTCGAACAAAGAAAAGTCATCAAATCCTTAGCTCACACTCTTGAAATGCTTCCATTCTTTAACTTAGAAAATGTTCCGTCTATGACTATGAGAGTCAGTATTTTATATATAAGCGTATATATGTATATATATATACATATTATTCAATAGTATTTTATTATCTGCACGAAATCTTAATATATATATATATATATAT